TGGGGAGGAAGGGGAAGATAAGGGAGGAAGAACTTAAGAGGTTAGAGGGAGCGGGGAGTGTGTGAAGGGAGATTGTGAGTATAATAAAAGAAGTGCCTCCAGGAATTACTCCGAGTTGAACCGCTACACAAGTACACTGTTTTTTTATGTAGGCACACATCTTCCACTGCAATGGGTGACAGCGGGAGTGAATATCTGTGGAGAGCGGTGCTGTCGCGATTAGTGCTACGCTGCGCTACGAACCCGGCCATCCGAGTTCGATTCCCGCTCACGGCCAACACCGGTGACGATTATCTGAAGCGGTCCTGGACCTCCCTTAGGTCGACTCAGCCTCAAATGAGTACCTGGTGCGGTGTGTTAACATCGCCACTGGGGAGACGGGGTACCACATTGCGGCAACAACACAGCACACAACGTGCGACACACGCCTCCGTACATGTGAACCCCTTCTCAGTGCCCCACCTTGTTACAGACCAATTCAGACCACATTGGTCACCCCGTGCCCCTTACAAATCCCAAGGTTCATCCTAAAAAGTCCCATCACGAGAGAGAACCACAAACACATAAAATGTTTTGCCCGTATTGAAACGGCTGTACGCCGTATGGACCTGTAAACTCAATTTCCCTGCACAAGAATACGGGGTAAATCATATGGGTCCACAGATATGTGCCTCACTAACACAAAAAAGACAAAGATCCCCCGTGTAGCCTTAACAGCCTGTAGGGGCAAGTGCTGTTAGCGAGCACCTATGAAGGCCGACACGGCAGGAGGTGACTCTTCTGCCGTATCGGCCGCTGGGCTCTTGCTATAGGACCCCCTCCCGCCTCGGCCCCTGTGACCATCGGCAGTACTAGTGACGACGAATTGGCACGTTCTGTTTACGTGACAACCCTTACTAGTTGGTTGTGTCGGCTGGTGGCGGGTTTTAACGACATATTTATATATTTATGCGATCTAACCCAAAAACCTCTTATGGATCGTTATCATCGTCGTCATCATCGTCATCATTATCATCGTCATCATCGTCATCGTCGTCATCATTATCATCGTCATCGTTGTTATTATCATCGTCGTCATCATTATCATCGTCATCATTGTCATTATCATCGTCGTCATCATTATCATCATCGTCATTGTCATTATCATCGTCGTCATCATTATCATCATCATCGTTGTCATTATCATCGTCGTCATCATTATCATCATCGTCATTGTCATTATCATCGTCGTCATCATTATCATCGTCATCGTTGTCATTATCATCATCGCCCCGCCACTGCGGCTGCTGCTGCTGCCTCACAGCAGCATTGAACCTGCTACGACTTTGACGGAGACACTTGACGGCCCCCACCTCTCTCTCTCTCTCGCTCGGCTTTTGGGCACCACTCAGCTCGTCTCGGCGCTGCAGAGAACACGGTCGTTTATGTCCGTGTTCTCTGATCCGGTCCTGGGCCTCCCCTAGGTCGACTCAGCCTCGAATGAGTACCTGGTGTGTAAACATCGCCGCGAGGGAGAGACAAAGGCGGCCGGGCGTGGTGGTAGCACCAAACCCCTCTTGCGCCGTGCTGGCCTTCATAGACGCTGCTCGCTAACAGCACTTGCCCCTCCAGTCTATTAAAGCTATACTGGGGATCTTTGTTTTTGTGGCAGTACAGCAAGCAGGTTCCTTACTTATCTGGAGTTTGAGTGTCTCCAACCATTGTAATTTTGCTCTAAATGTAAAAGATACATAGAGTAAAAAAAGGAATTGGCTAAATATTCGAGGCACAGGAATCTGAAAAAAAATGTCTTGCATCTCAAAGAGATTGTCCTGGCAAAATAAAGAAACTCGGAGTCACAATATGAGTCTTCGTGCTCAAACGAGTAACCCCATTGACAGCGCTGAGCCAACGGTGGAAAATCTCCCGTCACCTAATCAGCAATAAACGCGTGGTTAGTGTCCACTATTGCGTGTCCGTCGTTCACGGTCGCGTGCGTAATTCTCTCCGGCAAGTGTTCGGGGTGGTGCCGCATGTTGTGAGGGCGCCGATGTTCGACGTTGAGCTCCGCGCGCGCTGGGAGCTTCCTCGTCGAACTTGACGTCGTGCCAAGAGAAACACTCGCCGCAGCCCCGGAAAGCGGGGCGGAGAACCGCGCGGGGTTTGTCCGTCAGTGCGTTTGTCCGTCCGTGCGTTTGTCCGTCCGTGCGATTGTCCGTCCGTGCGTTTGTCGGACCATATGATTGTCCAACCGTGTGTTTGTCCGTCCGTCCGTCCGTTCAGATCTGGTTGAAAAACACGGAGCTATGTGCTCAAGTCCCGAGCACTTGAAACATTTCTAACCCAAACTTATCTAAAAATAACACATGCAAAAAAACCGACAGGTCTTTTGCTTTTAAAGGTCAAAGTGGTACGAAAGTGGCTGCTGCTGCTGTTGTTGTCGTTTTGCCTACAGTGAAATAACGCTGTTCATGAGCCTGACAAAGCAATCGCGGTGTAAAGCTGCTCGCACGAGTGGCCACGTTGTATAGAATCTCAGTGTGGCCACGTGGTTAGATGGACATAACTCCCCGCTCCCCACGGGGGCACGAATGCCTCGTTCACTCGCCACTGGGCCACGTCTACACCCAAGTTGTCTCCCTGCGTAAACGAGCAGCGTGGAATGTTAGCCCGGTCTGTCCCGGCTGGCAACACGGGGAAAATATTTCCACACCCAGTATACATATCTCAGAATCAGAATATTTATTTATATTGGAGAAATACGATGAGCTATGAAGCTCTTTTTTTACAGGATGTCCAGTAGGGGCGGGGGTCAGAACTTACATCTGATGATGTGGCTACCAGTCCCGTGCCAACTCCAGCATGCCGGCGAGCGGTGAGAAGGGAAGGCTCGCAAACAAACAAACGGGTGCAGTATTTCGATTTAAAGCTTTCGTGACTGCAGGGATTCATCTTCTTGGTTGTTTCGGTAAAGTCACGTGAGGACGGCTGCTGGCGTTGTGGCCGAAACGTCGTGAGAATTATTTTATTATGTTTTATTTTTTATTACTTCCCTTCTACGTGACTTTACCGAAAGAACCAAGAAGGGTGCAGTACTCTTTGGTTCTTTCGGTAAAGTCACGTAGTTAGAAATATTTCTAACGATGGATTCTTGCAGTCACGAAAGCTTCAAAACGGGTGCAGCGTGCGTCTCTGCCGGCCCTGGGCCAGCGGTGGGAATTCCGCATCTCCTGCGCAGCCTCTCCACACGACCACCTTTCCTTCCTCTGCAGCGACGTGCATTTCACGAACCCTGCGGGACATTGTGTGCCGAGTCCGCCCCTGACCAGGGCTTGCACTCTTTTGTTGTCCGCAGTGCGTCAGTGGATCTCAACCCAATTCTTTGGCCACTGTACCACCCCCCCCCCCCTTGTTGAATTGTGTTTCCAACGAATGTGTACCTCCCCTTTGCCAGAGCCAATACGGTTCTGAGAAATAAATGTTTGCATTAGTTTAACCATTTGATCTTTATGGCGGTACCCCGGGGTACCAAATAATACAAAATGGCCGAGGCAATTAAATATGTTATTTCTGGGACACTATTTTTTTACAGGGGTGTACTTAACTCCGCGACTGGGGTACCAATCAATCCGACATCAGTGCCACACTCCGCGATGTTGAAACGCGGCGAGGACGATTGCGCTGAAACCCTGTACGCTCGCGGTACGCACCGAAGTGGTGCATCGTGCACAGCTCGTCGAGATGAGTCGATTGCCAGCATCGCCGACCATCAACAGACTAAAAATTACTGCATCACGGACATTATGCGAGAGCCGGGGTACTATGGTAACGCGGGGTACCGCCATAAGGTTAAATTGTCCATTTTGTGAGTTACCCTAACTGGCTAGTAACTGCAAGCGAACTAAAACAACTTCATTTTGTGAGTTATCCCCTGGGACACTGCAACGTGTACCCCTGTTGAGAAGCACTGCAGTATCTGGTCCTGTGCAGCTGGAGTGGTGGCGCAGTGGTTAGCGCGAATGCACGATGAATCCGGCGAACCAAGTTCGAATCCCGGCTGTCACTAAAATCAGTTGGCAAGAGGTGATATCTGGACTGTTTCCTGGGCAGCCCTGTCATTGACCAGCGTGGTGAAGTATAGTCAAACAAACCCCGACAGTCTATTGACAAAGGGCTGCACATTATATTGCGATGACACGTCTCTCTGAATGCTACACACATTATTTCTTAAAAAGCGTACTGTACTACGCTTACAATAAATATTGAGCTCACCTAGTTTGATCTCAAAACGACAACGCAGGTTTCTCAAATCCCCTGTCCCCCCCCAGCAGTAGACAATGGGCACAGCCCCCAGTCGGGTAAGCCGACGTTTCTCCTCGATCGCGATGTTTCTCAAACTCGTTTGGCCCGCGGACCACTCAGCTGATGCAAACATTTCCATGGACCAGCAACCCAGCCAGCCAGCCCACCGCTGGCGACCACACGGATTCACTTCTCTCTCTCTAAATGGCAGTTATACAAATTATTAACATTACAGGAACATAAAAGTTTTTATTACACAGCTACAATGTTTATTTGTGTCGGAGGGGGGGGGGCATTTAGGTGTCATGATTCGTCTGGTCTAATCAATTAACTAATTAAAATTATTTTGGATTAAATATCTCCAGTACAATGTTAATGTTCGAAAACAATTGGTACAATAAACCGTGTCATTTCTTCCGGATCAACCGGGGTTTGCATCACATTCCCGCGGCCCACCACCTGGAGGACCGTCGCGGACCACTCACCGCTGGTCCCAGGGACCACAACGCTCTGAGAACCACTGGGCTAGAGGGGCTCTCCAGAGGGGCTCTCCAAAGGGGGCCTCTTCTGCCACCAGTGCTGTGGGCAGGACATCGCAGGGCCGCACCGTGACCCGTCCTGTCGGCCGATAGATCTCGAGCGTCAGTTGCTGTGGCATCTTCATCACCAATCTTGTTCATCGTCCTCATCGCCATCGATGCCCTCTCGCCCGCCCGCAGGTGTTGTCCTACAACCTGTGCACGGTGCTCAACGTGAGCCACGACCCCGTGGCGCTGGAGGCTCACTTCCGCGATGACGACTCGGGCCCTGTGTCCAGCCAGGGCTACATGCCCTACCTCAACACCTACATCCTCGACAAGGTGACACCTCGTCACACGCACACCATACCTCAACGCCTACACCCTCGACGAGGTGACAGCCTCATCACGAGGTGTCACAAGGTGACAACCTTGTCAAGTCTCCCATGCTGCCCGGCGGCCACGCTGGTACCTTGGGTCTCGATTATGTTCGCACCCTCCTCCATCCTCCACCGCTCAGCTACCGCTCCCTGCTCCCGCACTGCCGCCGCGTTCCCTGAGAGGCGTCTCTCTCCTGCGCAGGGGCCGCTAAGTGCAGCTGCATCCGCGTGGGTTTCTGTCGTCGTCGTCACCATCAGCCTCGATAAATCAGTTGCTCGATCAAGGCCTCCCTAAGCCCTTGCTGCATTGCTCTATTGATTTAAATGAGATTCATACACAAGAGATGTTAACTACCTCGCCTGGTATGCAGGAGGTCTATATGGAGTTTGCGTGCTCTCCCCGTGGTCGTGTGGATTTTTCTCAGGGTCCTCCAGTTTTTCCCTCGACACTTAGAAACATGCGTTTCGAGTATTTGGCTTCTATAGATTTCCACATGATAAGCCACTTCACTGGGCTATAATTTGTGGCCAGGTCACTTCAGAAAAATAGCTATATAGCTCAATGGGCCTTACATGGCAAAATAATAAAATTGTTTAAAAAGTTAAAACCGTGTCGATAAATGCATCAGATCGTGCGTGTGAGAATTGGCATAGAGTGCCATGCATACGTTACGGTTAGGCTCCTGTGTTGAAACGTTAATCGACACACAACACAAAACTGTTACGATGCCGCAGATGAGACGGTGTGATACGACTACAGTGAGGGAAAAAAGTATTTGATCCCCTGCTGATTTTGTACGTTTGCCCACTGACAAAGAAATAATCAGTCTATAATTTTAATGGTAGGTTTATTTGAACCGTAAGAGACAGAATAACAACAACAAAATCCAGAGAAACGCATGTCAAAAATTTTATAAATTGATTTGCATTTTAATGAGGGAAATAAGAACGATCCTCGAGTCAAATCGTGACCACCAACGTAGAGATATAATGCTTCGACTGCATACTCTTGCTCACCAGTTGCGTTGCGTGAGAGCACAGTCGCTGTGAGCAATGCAGCCTCCAACCGCCAAGATGAGAGCAGGCCTTTCAAGAGTATTGAATCCTCTCAATGCCTCAGCGCGGTTACTGATGAAGAGATCAAAACGTTATCATCATGAAGATGTTGCCCAACCCAGGGGTCAGCAAGCCGCGTCCAGCTCTTCAAGAACCGCTTCGTGGCGCCATTTAATTAAACACCATCACCGTATCTCATATTCACCCCACAGTGCACTGCGGCTCCTGAGAGTTTTTGCTTTTACCAAATTCGAAAAAATGGCTCTTCTCGTTCTTTTGGTTGCCCACCCCTGGTCTAACCTGTTGGAAGTCAGCTGATATTGTTCTACGTATAGAATCGTCCTTGCCACAGGAATGTGGAATTTGTTCATGTGCTTATTATACCCATAACCGCCTCGGGTGTATAAACACTGGCCAACACATTCTGAGCGGGACCCTCCTGAAGATGTCAATAAATCAATTTAACTTTATTTCAGTTGATTTCTTTTCCCAATGGAATCGTCACAGAGCACTTCGCGTGCAAACATAACATTGCGTCATTAAATGATGGCATACACAAAAATCGTCAAAACTATACACGGTTCAAATTATATCAAAGAGAGCCTCTCATCGTGCCTTTCAGGGACGCATCCACCGACATAAACCGGTGTATCTGTGTACTGTAAATTCATAGCGGTTGTAGACATCGTAGCCAACACCACAGCAGTCCCGCACAATGGACGTGATGCATGGCGGGGTGGGTGAGCAGCAGTCCGTTTCCCAATTCAGCAGGGAGACGTTTTCACGAAGACTGGAATTAGCCGACGGTAAAAACGCTTGATTGAATTTTCCACGTCGGTGCGGTACACATATATATATCTTGCGTGACGCAATCAAGTTGACAAGCCAGAAGATCGTGTAAAATGTAACCACGGTAAGTGGTTTCAATGAAAGCGATTGTGGTGCAACCCGTTCAGTGCAGTGAGCTGCCGGTCATTAAACTTCGGGCCCGCAACGTGGCAAGAGAAATGTAACCGTTCCTTGGCAAAACTTCATCTTTGATAAAAAAAAAAAATATTCCCAGTGCCTGCTCAACATGAAGATAATAACATTTGTTCTGTCAGAGCCCCCTCGGTGGTTTTCGAAGTCACAGCACTGTTCGCGTGTCAAGAGTGACCAGGACAAAATAACTCAAAGTCACCCATTGGTTGGCATGAGAAAAAAAAACCTCAAACACGTTCATCAGTAACACTTTGTGCATGTAGCATTACAAGGAATAAAATATAATAGGCGACGTTTTGGGCAATCACCCTCCTTCTTGGCAGTTGGAGTTGTCACGCAGGTACTCAAAGCGCAGAAGTCCGCTGATGAAGCGGCAGCCTCGCTCGACCCCTGCGCTCGCCACCTGACGAAGCTCGCGGCAGTTTCGAGCCATGAAGCTGCGACGTGGCCATGGCCCAAGAAACCTGAACGAACCGATAATCAAGCAAACTCTCGGCTCACTTTTAGCGTTCGAATGGGCGCAGCCTCATCCTGCCTCGTATCCCCAGTGGCAGCAGTTGCGAGGGGCCAGTCGAGCAGAAGCTCGCCAAGCGCTTGCGCGGCCAGAGCAGCAGCAGCAACAAAACTGCTTCTCTCGTGCAGCACGTCCGTTCCCTTCTGCTTGGCATTGCCCCCTGTGCCAGTTGGCAATCGCTCAGGGCTCTCCGAAAGAGCTTATCCCGTCCATGCTCACAAAGACTCCTCTGTTTTCCGTTCACCCTCTCAGCGCCGCGGCGAGCGGCCCTGCGAGACTGACGGCGCGCACGCTAAACGTGGCGGATCGCAGACCGCGTCGGGGAGGAGCGCGCTCCGCCCGCCGTCAGAGGGCGAACAAAGCAGGCGGCGCGGGGGGTAACGATTCCGTGGCGCGGCGTTGAGCTGGCACCCCTGGGAGCCTGGGGTTCGAATCCACCGGTGGTAACTTTGTTCATGCAGTCGGTGTTTTTTCTTAAAATAAAAAAAAAAAATAATGACGACAAGTGGACGAGAATCGTCGCACGTGACGACGATCGGCACCGCTTCCCTACCGCAGACGCTCACGCGACCGACTGGGACGCGTCTGCCTCGAGACGCAGACTCAGCTACGTTTGCGACGTTGTTATGAGGCTGCTGTGCTCGTAAAGGTAGCCACAGATGGCCTGATCCGATGGTATAGGCTGGCTGGTGGGCGGGGGGGATTGCATCTCCTCTCACACCAACGGTGAATAGCTGAGAGTTGGCTACGCACGGCGCCGCAGCAAAGTCGACTACGCTCGGAGAACGATTTCAATGAAAGCCACCGACTGAGACTGTGGCTGGAATGCCACAGGTTGTCGTTGACTCCGACGGTAAAGGTGCGGCATCCCTGCAACTGCTCGCTCGCGCCACTGCTGGCGGAAGGGCCTGCATTAGAGGGAGCTCTGGGGAGGACGCCTGGAGGGTGTTTTGCCCAACTTCTGTCACGCCGGGCCAGAGACGCCTCGGGAGACTTGAGGCCGTGACTAAAATGGAAAATGCTGAATAAATTAACGCGGCCGGCCACCAGCGTCCCTGAGTTGGTGGTCTCAGCTCGGTCGCCATTGACTGCACAAGAACAAGTCACCGGAATAGAGACATTTGTTTGTCACTCAGCGTGGCGCACTCCGGTTTTCAAGGATTAGCTTTCATTGTTCGTCACGTGTGCGTGCACTCTTTGAGAAGCAGATTTAGCGCGAGTGAAAAGTATTTTCATTTATTTCAAAAGTAGCTGTCGCATCAAGTTCAAGTTTGTTTTATTTAACTAGTTGAGGACTCAAGCTTGAGACCATGATAGAGTCTCATTTGGGTGCCAAGGTGGCGACACGTTCACCACCTCGCCTGCTACGCAGGAGGTCGTGGGTTTGATCCCGACCCTGGCGTCTGCTGTATATTTGGAGTTTGCATGTCTCTCTCCCCGTGGTCGTGTGTATTTTTTCTCAGGGTCCTCAAGTTTTTCCCTCTACATTTGGAAACATTTGCTTCGTGTATTAGACTGATATAAATTTCCACGTGGTAAGCCACTTTGTTGAGCTATCATTTGTGGCCAGGTCGCTTCTGAAAAAGAGCCATAGAGCTCAGTGGGCCTTACCTGGTAAAATCATTTGCAAGAGTGACCTGCGGTGCATTAGTCTGCTGGTAGGGGCTGATGATTAGCTCTGTGTAATCCCAATTGAGTAATTTGCGGTCTAATTTTTTTCATTTGGACCCTTACACCGAGACACGCGGTGGCCTGCCCTTGCAAATTACCTCAGGGGGATCTTTAACGTCCCCTGTGAAGTAGACTGCGCAGACTATTGTTTTGGTAATTCAACCCCTAAAGTAATAATCGGAGTGACCGCTTGCTTCGAACCGCGAACCTCCGAAACAAGCGGCGAAGACACTACAGCTGGGCGACGTTACCGCCCCGGTATCATGTTTGAGCGCCATTCCGTTACCCTTTCCCGTTCCGATGACGTTCGTGTACGTCATCAGAACGGAACCTGACTAAAACAATTTTATCAGTACCGAGGCTCCCACAAGGCCATGCAGGAGGGCGTGTGGCACAGTTTGGCGCCAGCTATCGTAGAGTGCGGTGAGTACAAAGTCTTTAAAAACAGCGGCGTTACGCCTTTTAAATAAAATTCATGCTGAGCCACTTACGCATTCTGAGATTGAGCGGTGAACAGGACAACACCCACCCTGCGACTTGCAGACGTCTCGGAATGGGAAAGGGTTAACCACCGTGTTCCACGTTACGCTGCTCGCAGGGAGAGTTCCGAACGGAAGGGTCTTCATCTCATGCCATGCCACCTTGAGCCGATTCGAATAACATTGTGAGGGAGAGGTAACAACATTATTGCATGCCGGATTCCTGTACAAAAAATAATATTACCAATGGCAAGGTACCAACAACGTCCGGTCACTGTCGGCCATCTTGCAATCGGATTACAGTTACCTAGCGCCGGTGTGTCACCTAGCTTGTCGTGTTTCATGGCATCTACGATTGCGTTGCCTTCCCTTGAAAGAAAAAAAAACATTCCAAAAAGAACAAAAAGTGGGGGGGTGGGGGGGTGGGGGGAGTTAAACTAATTGTTTTGTGATGCTCCATTGGCAGAGGTGTCGGAGCACAATTGATTTGCGTGCCACGAAGAACGGCCACTCCCTGAAATGTCGCTTATTATACTTTTAGATTTGAAGCTTGCGTGACTGCAGGAATCACGATCGAAACGTCGTGATATATTATTATTATTTTATTTAAAAAATTTTACCTACGTGACTTTACCGAAAGAACCAACAAGTATTATACTTTTCTTTTAAGGCCGCGCCGGTGTTTTTGAGGAACGTGTTGAGCTATTATCTTTGTTCGTGAACAAAGGGGCAGGTGATCGTGTCAGCGGCTTGGGGTGACGCAAGGACAGAAGCATCAACAGGGAATGCGCGCAGCTCACGACACAACACCAACGATGATCGCAGCGCCAACGATGATCGCAGCGCCAACGATGATCGCAGCGCTGACGTTTTCGATGGTAGCGTCGAATAGTTTCCCCATTCAAACAAAATCTTCAGGACCCCGGCCAGAGCAGGAAGCGCTTTCTCTTCGACATCTGAGCTTCTGCTGAAACTGAGGATGCTGGATTGTGGTCTCCAGCGCAACGCTGCAGCCATGTCAACGTGGTCAGATTGTAAACAACAACAACAACGTCGTCAGATTGTGTTCAACAACAACAATAACATCGTCAGATTGTGTTCTCCAACAACAACAACGTGGTCAGATTGTGAACAACAATAACAACAACGTCGTCAGATTGTGTTCAACAACAACAACAACAATAACGCCGTCAGATTGTGTTCAACAACAACAACAACGTCGTCAGATTGTGTTCAACAACACCAACAATAACGCCGTCAGGTTGTGTTCAACAACAACAACAACAACGCCGTCACATTGTGTTCACACAAACAATATGTTAATGTGAAGCAAATAATGAACATACGTAATCAAGGAATATCAGCGTCCTGCTTGGATTACATCACAAGTGGGATTACATTGATTGTACGTTGATTGTAATCGGGCCGACCCTCCCTTTGTCACACTCACGCTGCCCTGTAGCCAATCTCTTCAAGAGAGAAACGTCGTCAAGAGATTCTCTTGACGACGTTTGCCTTGGAGCTGTGGGGTCACTACTACGCACTCTCACACCGATCGTTTGAGCACGTGACACAGATCCAGCGCCGTCGAGATCCTGGGTTACAGATCCCTTCATGGACTTGCTCCACCGTATCTCGCCACACTTGTTTCTTTCTACGTCGCCTTCTCGCCCTTTGCCGTCTCGCTCTGTACCTCCTCCTCCTTGTGCTCAATCCACGCTCTCGCTCTCGCTCTCTCTTCTCGCCCCTCACTGGAACAAACTTCCCCTCCACGTTAAGCAGTCACCTTCGCTCACTCGTTTTCACTCCTCACTGAAAACTCACTTATTTTCCCCGAGCACACCCCTTACTCCTCCTCTCATAACCACCACTATCACTGATCCCTCTTCATATTCTCATCACATGGCTATCACTCACCACTCATTCAATCCATTCATCATCATTTAGTACCATCAATTCACTTTCACCGAATCCACACATCACAGATTCGCCCACTGCCTCCTCTCATGTATTTCATTTGCCTCATCTCCACCATTGGATAAGGCGCTCCATGTATTCCTTTAAGACACGATAAGAGTTGATTTGAAGCTTTCGTGACTGCAGGCATCCATACTCTTTGGTTCTTTTGGTAAAGTAACGGAGGTATAAAATAAAATAAATCACGACGTTTCACCTGTTGACGGACGCTTGTGTTGCGCCCGAAACGTCGTGATTAATTTTATTTTATACCTACGTGACTTTACCGAAAGAACCAAAGAGTACGATAAGAGTTCACAGCGGGGTCAGACAGAGCCCTCGTGGTACGACCGCGCTTGATGACAACGTTATCCCCCGTTCGGCCACGTCCGCGCTAAAAGCGTGTGCCGCGTGCGGTCTGCGCACAGCCGCACAAAAGATTCATCCCTCCCACGGCACAGAGTCCGGCGATTTGACAGCTGGTGGTGACAGCACTCTTCAGCAACTGAAAGTCCTGGGATGTGGAGCTATGCGGGACAACCACTTTTGAGAGTGACCTTCTCTGCAACATAGTGCCGTTCACCACATGGCAGTCAAATCAATCTTTTTTTAATTATCAGAATTTGTACTTTGCAACAAATTAAAAGGAGAAAAGTACTTTCAACGCGAACCGGTTGTCTCGGTGCGGCCATTGGTGACTCGGCTGAGACCCTTCAGCTCGCTGCACTTGAGAAGACCCTGTTCAATCACGGGTGGCGGAAACTCGGGAGTCGAACCCAGGACTCTGGGCAGCAGCCGTGGTTCAGCGCTCGGAGCCTCTGAGCTGCCACCGCCGTCGCAGCGTTTCACAAAAGCCACTCGTGGCTGCATTGTTGACATTGCAAGTTGCGGACGGCGCCGCTTTCGCAAGGCCTCACATGGTTACTTAAAAGTCAGAGAGACTCTCCCCCGGGTGGCACTCATCACCACTGGCTGCCTTAAGCCAGTGGTGGAAATCGCTGCATTCCCAACGCCAGAAACTCGTCTATCTCAAGAACAGCCGAGGTCGACGTCCCACCGCCGAATGGGGCGCATTTAAAATGAGGCCGAATGCCCAAATAATATTCCTGGCCGGGTGGCGCTGTGCCAAAGGGCTCTGGACAGACTCACGGTGGCGAGATGTCAACTAGCTCGCCTGGTATGCAGGAGGTCATGGATTCGATCCCGACCCTGATGCCTGTATATCCGGGTCCTCCGCTTTTTCCTTCCACATTTAGAATCGACACGCATTCAGAGTATTTGGCTGCTATAAATTTCCACGTATAAGCCACTTCGTTGAGTTATCGTTTGTGATGGCCAGATCCCTTCCCAAATAGAGTTACATGCCTCAGTGGGCCTTACCTGGTAAAAAAAAAAAATTGTTTAGTTTAGCAGTGGATCGCCTCATTCTCCCGACGCTGCGGCCCACCCACGGATGGCGTGGGCAACCGCACGTCACGCTCTGCATCGTCACTGCCAAGCGAGTGGGGTGTTGCGGATAACTCGGTGATGACTCTCGAGGCGGGAGGGAGTTGGGGACGCGCCGGACTGAGCCGCGTGTGGTTGTGGTGCGCAGGTGCAGAAGGGCGGCTATGACAAGTGCCAGTTCGACGAGGTGTGCTGGATGATCGCGGCAAAGAAGAACTTCTTGCGCAACCGTGCCGACGCCGCCATCATCAGCCACAACGACGCCTTCAAGCTCTGGAGGATCTTCAACTTCCTGTCGGAGGATACGTATCCACTCATCATGGTGCCCGAGGAGGTGAGCACAAGCTCGCGTGTTACGCCCCGCGCAGTCGACCGCTGATGCTGCCGCAAGGGAGGAAGCCGTCGCTTCCTTCCCCGTGCCAAGTCTCGCAACTGTTGTTCAGGCAGCTCCTGTCTTTCCCGGTCTCCTCTCTTGTGATACTCCACCGTCTGGGCTTCAGGTCTTCCGCTTGGTGGCTGAACTCTGGGTGCCACCTCGGTGTCTGTCTCAGGTGTGCGTGCCCTCCTCTGGCACGCACACGCGTCCCACCCATCACAGCCGTCCAATTCCTGTTAACGTCCGCAACAATGCTTTGTCGCGACATCATATGCCTTGTGCGTCGTCCAAAGCCGCAAGCATTCCCCGCGTGCACCGGTTCAAAAGGGCCAGAGGCTTCTTTCGAAATTATTTTTAAAGTCCCTTGCTCTTTAAACTAAATAAATAAAAACGTCACACGTGAAATGCTAAATGTCAGCGAGACCCACAGGCCATCGTGGAGGAGAACCGGTTTTTGTTCCTACGTGCAAAATAACTGAATTATTTAAAGTGTCTGGCTGAATTAAGTGCCCAAACACACCGCAAGGGCCGCCGCCCTGCCGGCTGTGAGACGTCACGGCTGTGTTTTTGTCTCCGTGATTTTTCGTCACATTTTCAGACAGCTGCGGCCCGGTGATATGGCCGGGCCGAGCCGGGCCGTGCCACCTGTTGCGGGGAAGTTCGCGGACTAAGCCCGGCGGCCGCCCTGGTCAATAGCGCGTGGCTGCGTTAATCACAGAAACGTTTGCCGCCCCACTCCATGGTGGCAGTTAATGATCCAGTGACGTCACTCGCGGAAGGCTCGGCCGTTGTGTGGTGGCGGCAGTGGCGGCGTGGTCAAAATTTGCCAAATTTGAATAAAATTGTCCGGGAATTGGGGTGACTCGCGGCAACAAGCTAGGCCCACAGTGCAGGGTTATCATGAAGGAAGGCACTATGTTTCAAAGGTGGATATACGTACATACGTATGTTGAACTTGTACGTACGGTGCGAAAGAGGTTCAACATACATACATATATTCATCGGTGGAACAGCTCCTTCCTCGTGATATTCTTGCACTGAGGGCCTTACCTGGCAAAATAAATAATTGTATTTGTTTTTTAAAAAATCGCATGAGAGTACCAAATGTAGTGGTCAATCCACGATATCTGCTTCGGTTCGTGTCGCCGTGGTTCGCTTCGGCCATGAGCTGGCCGAACTAACGTTAGGCTCCGCCTGAACACTCCATATCCCACTTTGTTTGCAACACTAATCTTGTACTCCTTCCGAAATGAAATAATAAAACCTCACCTAATTTTTTGTTAACATTGCTTGACGGACAGAAGCATGTGCATTCGGCCGGTCGGCACGTGTCGTAATATATCAATTCATCAAGTAACATAGGTGCTTACTCACATGATGCATGAGATAATTAGTGCGTGCAAGAAGCAACTGTCTAGGATTTATATTCGTCGTACGCACATGTAACATTAAGGCAAATTGTGCAAACCTGTAAAAATGGGACAGAACAATTGGGAAACGATGCAAAATGGGAGAATAAAAGACGAGGCTGGGGTGCGGTAAGACGTGCAGAGTAACCATAGACTCACCCTGGATCTGCAGCCCCGAACATGAGGCTGTTTTATGCTGTGAAACGACACGTTCCCGACTTTCGATTGGAATGTCAAAATAGAACGTCGATTCTACAATCGTGTTTACCGAGTCACATCCTCTCACGGTAGAAAGAGATCGGAGAGATGTTTTTTTTATTTCACCAGGTAAAGGCCCACCGAGCTATCATGTAGCTCTTTTTCAGAAGCGACCAGGCCACAAATCGAAGTTCAGAAAAGCGGCCTTATCGTGTGTAAATTTATAGCAGTAGCCAAATACTCCAAACGCACGTCGATTCTAAATGTGCAGGGAAAAAGCGGAGGACCTGGAGAAAAATCCACGCGACCGCGGGGAGAGAGACCCCCACATATAGAGCAGCAGTGGTGGGACTTACACCAGGAGTGGAGTGAGTGAGCAATTGCGGGAGCCACCACTGCACACAAACAAGCGCTCACGCCGCAGCTCATTAACGTCACTGCTTCTACCTTCTCCCCACCGTCCCCGTACCATTTGTGCCAACATCCCCCCCCCGACCCCTTGACCCCATGCCCCTCCCCGCCCGCACCGCCCCTGGCGTGCTGCCCCACCGCCCTTACCTCCCCACCGCATCCTCCGCGCCCGGTGGTGGGCCCACCGCTCCCCCGGCAGGTGGAGTTCCTGCTGCGCAAGCTCGTGGCGGCGATGGGGGGCGACTGGCAGTCGGCCGAGACTCCGGAGCTGCGCATGCTGCTGGGCGGCAGCAAGCGCAGCAGCTCGGCGGAGGAGCGGGGAGGAGGCGGCGTCTCCGTGTGGGAGCTGCTCTCCTTCCTGGACGCCCAGCCGCTCACGCCCGGCCTCGAGCCGCGCGCCGTCTCCTTCGCCATCGACGACGTCCACGAGGAGTTCCTCCTCGACGTCATGAAGAAGGTGCCGACACCCGTGCCGCGCGAGTTCTCCGCGCGGGTCGCAACGGATGGGGCGGACATCTCTGAAATAGTGGACATCTGTGGAATAGAGCTTGGTAGCTCATCGGATTCTTCCAGTATAAAGATCCTGATTGTGGATGGGACGATGGATGGGTTTCTCGCTTGTCGGGTTGACTGGGTTTTTCGTTTTTGTTACGAGTGGTTGGGTAGTCGGATGGGTGGGGTGATATATGCACGGATGTATGGATGGACGAGTGACTATATGTTGAGCTTCTTTCGCACCGTACGTAGCCAACCGTGCTAATCGGAGGTGTGGGGGAAGGACCACAAACGAAACACAAAAAACTGTTCTAAAGAAGTGATGATTTAAAAGCGCATAGCTCCAGTGGCTTCCTAATATCGGAAGGAAGAGCATTCCAGGTGGCCGCAGAAGCGCATCTGAAAACGCGCAATGCGTTAACCATCTTTGATCGATGGCCGGCCAAAAGCTGCTGCAGGGATTTATGAATGGTTGGATGGCTGGATGGATCTAAGTTTGTTTGTCTGTGTTTGCATGTAGAATGGCTGGCTCGCTGGCTTGTTGGCTAGATCGTTGGAACTTCGTTTTTTTCAATGACCGTGTGGTTCTTTATTTGGATGTCTGACTGACCTGAGTGACAGGTTGGATGTTTGAATGGTTTGGTGGATGTTGGTGTGATTGTTTGGGCGGTTGTGTGGTTAAATGAGTAGTTGTCTGTTAGAATGGCTGGTGGGCTATCTGACGCGCTGACTGCCCTGCCTGGCTGATTGGTTTCACAGTGGGCTTGTCGGCCTGATTAACTGAATGATTGACCGGCTGTATGGCTGCCTGATTGCTGTGACACCGTCATCATCGTCATCATCATCATCATCATCGTCAGCATCGCCAGTCCTGTGAATCACCCACCAACCCACCTGAACGAGGAGGAATGCGTTCAAACTAATTATCCGATTGTGCTCACGACAGGGCAGCCTCAGCAAAAAGGGCCACCGGCGTAAGAATTGGACGGAGCGATGGTTCGTGCTGCGGCCGGGCACCATGTCATACTACATGAGCGAGCACCAAAAGGAGAAGAAGGGAGACATCGTGCTGGAGAGGCCCTGCTCTGTATCGGTGAGTCACACAGATACACCGACTGTGCTCCCCAGTGTGCCATTTCGCTGCGTTTCAGCCGCCCGGCGCTCCGTTCGCTGTTGTGAACCACGCTTCTCCGCCCTCCGTTGTTGCTGGGGGGCGACTGCCTGCAACTGTCCAGTTGCATCCTTCACGAGCCTCCTGCACAAAGGCCGATCTTGACACCAATGTTACCGATCATCGCACAGGCGGGTAGATGCATGCATAGACGCACACACAAATACACGCAAGCACAGATCCCAAACATAGACAAATATCCGCCACCATAGCCTTAACAGACTATTGGGGCAAGTGCTGCTAGCGAGTACCGATGAAGGCCGGCGTGGCACACGAGGGGGTGGTAAGCCAGCACCACGTCCGGCCACCTTTGTCTCCCTAGTGGCGAAGTTTATACAACACACCAGTCGACCTAGGGGAAGCCCAAGACCGGTTCAGATATTCGTCACTGGTGTTGGTCATGAGTGGGAGTCGAACTCGGGTCACCTGGTGGACACACACGGTTACACACTGACATGTGCGCACACACACATGCTCCCACACACAACAAGAGCTGCCATTCGCCACTAAGTGCCGGGCTAGGTGCACTTGTGGTCACGTGGAGTGTCAAAGGCTCCCTAGAAGGTCATTGAACAGACCTAGGAACCATGGATTCATTGACTGAGATGACTGGCAGATTCACAACCCGTGCCCGCTATTGTGCCAACTTGCTGTGTTTTATCCGCCCGGCACTCCATTCATTGTTGTGAGCGTCACTCCTTCGCCCTGCATTGTTGTAGGAGGGCGACTGTCTCCAACTGCCCAGCTACCGTCTTTCATGAACTTCCTGCACAGAGGCCGATGTTGACACCGCTGGTAACAGTCACTGGTCGTTGGGTTCATAATCCAGTGCGCTAACTACTACACCACCACTCTCACACGTACACTCCATGTACCATTTGTTCGCGCAGTGCCTGTTTATGGATAAATTTGACCTTGTCACAGGAATGCAGAACTACCACGGGCGGATCGAGGCCGCCACGCGAAAATACGAGCCTCGGCCGAGCGAATCGGTCGCCCATGCATTGTTTTTGTGCCGTCCCTTGGCAGTCGATCGTAGACAAAGACGGCAGGAAGTGCTTGTTCATGATCAAGGGCTTGGAGAAGAGCTTCGAGATCAGCGCGTCCGACCCTCGGCAGAAGCAGGAGTGGATCACGGGTACGGAGCCCCTCGCCGCGCGCGTGCATCCACACCCTCCGCGTACCCTCCGACGTATTCCATGCCCCCCCCCCCTCGCCCCCCGTGTATTACCGCCCTACGGGTAGCGAATAAAATCGCGTTGGGCGTTAACTCGTCCGAGCTGCTGGAAGCCAGCCCTGGGGTCGCCGCGCGAGACAGACGGACGAAGCGGCGGCGTCTGAAGGCCGCCGACGAACTCCGTGGAGTTTTTTGGTTAAACAAATGTTAACATCACAAACCTTACGAATTAGCTGCGTCGAGTGGTGGTGGGTTACCGACGCATTCGCATTTATGCGATCTAACCCAAAAAAACGTTATTGTAAATGATATTGGTCACGAAAGCCGACTGCTACGTGTTGAATTGACAAATTGGGTTCCGCCGCCGAGGTCGTTGATCACAGCCCCCCGTGGGTGGCTAGCGGTGGCTAGGAGATGTTAACCACCTCGCCTGGTATACGGGTGGTCTTAGGTTCGATCACAACCATGACGACGCTATATAGCTCACTGAACCTTTACCTAATAAAATAAGAAATAGTACATGTCCAGTTTGAGCTTCCAGGAGTGGGACTTTAACGACGACCCCACACGGTGCAGCGGCTGCAGCCACCCGAGCCACACGTTGTGCCACGTCGCTAACAACTTGGATCGTTCCATGCCCTCTCTCTGGCGGAGCGGACGGCATTGAGTTACGCTACTACCGTAGCCGTCATCGCACGGCTCACAAACGTACACCCGGACATGTGATTTACACCATTTTGCCATGCGCTAAAAGAAGATTGTCATTTAATGGAACCTCCCCGGCCTTAGTTAATAGTGATTTAGCACATTTGGTATTTGCGCTGTTCTTGTCGCCAGGGATGTCAGGAAGGCACTGCTGTGTTTCACAGACAGATACGATGTTGCCAATAGGAAGCGATTTTGGCACTACTCGTTTCGAATGACGCCAGAGGATCCTTCACGGTGCGCATTCGTGATGGTTGTACAGCACCTTGCAGTTACGGCCAGGGCAGCCTGCTGGATTTGAGCAGTAAAACCCTCCGCTGGGCCACGCCACGTGGCCTGATCAGTGCCTTGGCATCGACAGGCGCCCGCTGGCTTGTGTTGTTGCTCTGGAGACCGGGAGATCGATGATCGATGTTCGGCCACGGCGACCGAACATATTTTCCCACGCGCTTAACCTTCAACAATGCACATTCAACCCCGATGAAGCTTGGAGAGCCGAATGGAGTTCAAAGGAACTCGCAAACAAACACCTTGTCGTGAAAAACCCAACGCGGAATATCCCTGGGTTTGATCTTCCATGAAGCTCATGGCCCACCCTAAACCGCTTCGGCACAAATCATGTCAGATGCGGATACCCCAGCGGGCAACTGTGGTCATCCAGAACAGACCATAGTGTAATGCGAGCAAGGATTGAGGGGGGGCGGAGTCTGGGTCACGTGGGTGGAGTTAGGGTCACGTGGGAGAGAGGGTTTAGGGGGAGAACCGGAAGGGGAAAGGGGAGTTGAGACGGAGTGAAACGGGAGGAGGCCACGCTGGGCAGGACGAAGAGAGTGGCGCGGTCGCCACGCGGTGGGAGACGTCGACACCGTCAGCCATCGGTGTCAGACGCAGAGAGCGAGCGGCTGTGGGAGGCTAGCTGTGTACGGGGCAGCAGTGAAGCTGGAGAGCGGAGCAGCGGTGTGACTGCAAGGTGGAGCAGCAGGGAGACTGCCTAACGGAGCAGCAAGGAGACTGCATATCGGAGCAGCAGGGAGACTGCATATCAGAGCAGCCGAGTGGCTGTGGAGAGATCATCGGGAGGGACGCGGGCCTGAGCGAGGACGCCGTGGTAACAAGATTCTACGAACCCAATAAAGGACAACGGAGATCGACATCTGAGAGAGAGTCCTTTATTACAATAGTACAACGTATAACGACGCAATGCCCTGATCCATAAATACGAAGGAGACATCACGGCGATGATACAACTCCGCTACTGCTCCAGACGCAGCTGTCTGGCTTGACCACCTGAATGTGAAACATGTAGTCGTTGCTGTGCATCTACATCAGCCACACGAAAGAAGGAGGAGGGGGAGGAGGGAGAGGCCCGTTGGCCCACACAGGACTTGTGCACTTCCCCTACGCCGCTGTTCAGCTGCACAACCCTGTATATATTTATAAATATATATTCGTGCCCACCAACGTCCGCATTCTGCGTTTATTCCTGGATGCACTGCGGCCGTGCGGGACAAATTTGCGGTTGGAATTGTGAGCGAGTCGATCCCAGGTTACGTGCTCGAGTCGTCCTGCTGACGCTGGCTCGTTTGTTCGGGTTCGGCTTAGGCCTGGTACCTGGTCTGTTACGATTAGAGCTCGTATGTGGTTGGCTAGTTTAATAGAGTGAGTGCTAGGGCTCTAGTTGGTTACTTTAATAGAGTGCTAGGACTAGTCTCTGGCTGGTTAGTGTGCCCTGGCTCTCACGTGACCCCCACCTTATCGCGCAGTCTCAATGGGGGTACACCACAGTTGACCCATCGGCGGGTCACGCCAATGGGTCAACGCCCTCGTGAGCTCCGTCTTGCGATGAGAGGGAGACCCCCTCGCTTGGCGCCAGCGGGTGGCGCGCGGAACCAAATCGCGGGCGGCTGCTGCTGCTGCCGCACCCTCTTTACCTCTCCCTCGCCCCCGTCTCACCCCCCCCCAACGCGCCACCTTCCCCGGGCCCGCAGCCCTGCAGGCGTCCATCCGCCTGCGCGACGAGGGCAAGTGCTCGCCGCACGCCGAGCTGCGCCAGCGGCGGCGCGAGGAGCGGGGGCGGCGGCGCGAGGAGCAGGCGGAGCTGGCGCGGCGCATGACGGAGCTGCAGGCGGCGCGCGACACCCAGAACCGGGAGCTGCAGCAGCTGGCGCAGGCGAGGGCGGCGGTGGCAGCGTCGAGCTGCGGAGCGGCGCGGTGTTGGGCACGCGCACGGCGAGGGCTCCCCTTTGTCCGGCATTCTGGATAACGGGGAGCTCTCGCTGCACGGGAGAAAAGCCCGTCTCGCGATCGATAGCCAAGCAGGACTCAAGATTCCCTGGGTTTAACGTAGCTACCCGAGCTGACAGGAGCTGCCCCGTAGGCTTCATTCGTTGGCCCCCGCTCTTGGGGGGGGGGGGGTGTTCTGCTCGTAAATCGATTGTGCTGGCGAGCCAGGAGTGCAAATCCTCCTTGACGCCCACGGTCCACTGAAACATCACGGACGCCACGGTGCTGGGTTACAGGCCACGTGCGTAGTCACCGCCACCGAGCAAACGCGAGGTCACGGCGTCGTGGCCCGCAGCACGTGCTGACCGGCTCCTGACCCGGCTCCTGACCCTACCACCTCACCCAGGCCTCTGACTCGAGCCTCGACTCTCTGACTCGCCACAACCCCACGCCTCACCCCGACCATCGCTCTCACAGTACCCATCACGTCACTCCGAACCCCCGAAAGTCCTCATGACAACACTTACCCCTACCCTCACACTTAACACGAATGTTTAGCTCACATTTTTTTTTATTATGACGCTTTACTCTCTCACTACCTCTAACAATAATACCTCCTGTAGCTATAACCCTAATATTTAACTCGAACTCGACTTCTGGCCAAAACCCTGTGTGGTTCTCTCTGCACACACGAGACTTCTATTCCTGACCAAAGATCCCCCGTATCACCTTCACAGACTGTAGTGACAAGTGTTGTTAACGAGTAGCACCTATGAAGTGCGGCACGGCACATGAGGGTGTGGGTGGCCAGCACCATGCCCGGCCACCTTTGTCTCCCTAGTGGCGATGTTTATACACCGCACCAGGTACTCATTTGAGGCTGAATCGACCTAGGGAAGGCTCTGGACCAGTTCAGATAATCGTCACTGGTGTTGAGCGTGAGCAGCATGAGAACCAGAGTCGTCGGGTTCGTAAACACTGTGCACTTACCACTACGCTTCCCATATATTCCTGACCGCTCACCCTGCCACCAACGGCCCTCGTCACAACACGACTTCTGTTCCTGACCGCTGGCCCTGCCGTCACCCAGGCCCATCGCGAGGCGGAGGCGCGAGCCGTCCTGGAGGAGCAGCTACGTCTGCAGAGCCAAGTGGAGCTGCAGAAGCGCTATGAGTTCGAGCTGCTCAAGGAGAAGCAGGTGCGTGCGTGCATGCGCGTGTGTGTGTGCGTGTGTGTGTGCTCAGAGGTTTGTAGAGCCGTGAGGTGCTGCAAGGATGGGTGGTGGTCGCGGATTACTGAGGAGATGGAGTCTGCCTCAGTGGCCCGCAATCACAAATCGCTCTTTAATTCCATAAAAAAGTAACCTGCAGTGCCACACCTATGACCATCATTCGGGAAAAGAACAGTGATCCAATCTCCGACCCCCAGGAGCAGGTTTGCAGATTTGTTGAGCATTTCTGTGAGGTCCTGGGGGAGGGGAAATCCCTCACCCAGGAAAACAACATGGGACAAAGTGGGTATGACCCTGCCGAGGCTGCGGTGCCTCAAATATTGGAGGAAGAATTCACCCCCTGTGAGTGGCTGGCTCACGTGCCATCTGTTGAGGAAGTACTGAAGGCAATCCAGAGTCTGAGACCAGGAAAGGCACCGGGCAGAGATGATCTCCCAAGCAAAATGCTGAGGAACAGTGGCGTATGTGCACAGACTGCCCTACATGACATCATAACAACAATCTGGACCACTGGAGGGGTTCCGCAGGATTGGAAGGATGCCCTGGTGGTCCCCCTCTTTAAGAAGGGGGACCGCACAGACTGTAACAACTACAGGAGCATCTCACTCCTCAGTGTGCCGGGCAAGGTCCTGGCAAGGATTATTCAACATTGCCTTGCTAGGCACGATGAAGAGAGGCTTGCGGAGCCCCAATGCAGTTTCAGGAAAGGGCGGTCCTGCACAGATGCCATATTTTCTGTCCGTCTGCTACAGCAGAGGTGTAGGGAATTCCAACAAGAGCTACATCTCTGCTTTATTGACCTGGTCAAGGCCTATGATACCATCAGTAGACCTCGCTAATGGAACATCTTCGCCGGTTAGAAACATTTAGGCTGGCCTGCAGGCTGGATTGTGTGAGGAGCTCACAAATCCTTGAAAGATCTGGACAAAGTCCCATTGCAGGCAGCCGCCCTGCAGCAACATCAGAGGGTAGAGATGGAGCGACGCTCATAACAGTGAGCAGAGTGCCGGGCAGCTAAAACGCAGCAAATTGGCACAGTGGGAAGCACAGGGGGTGTATCTGTTGGTCATCTCGGTCAGTCAACCTATGGCTTCTGGGTCTGTCCTGTGACCTCCTGTCAGCGAGCCTTTGACACTTTACGTGGCCTCACCGTGCACCTAGACTGGCATAAATGATGTGGTGATGACACCAATACTGAGAGGTGGATGATGACGGCTGTTGTTTGCATGCAGACATACAGCGGGGAGTGGTGGCGCAGGGTTTAGCGCGTTGTGCGGTTTCCCACCTGAGTTCAATTCCTGGCCACGGCTACGGCTAACATCAGTGGTGGGTGATATCGGATCCGCCCCCCGCTTCACAAACCCGCACTGACCATCGTGGTGAAGTATGGTCAAACAACCCCCGTGACCGACACAACCCCAGCCTTGGAGGCCTTCATTCAGCACTGGATTGACAAGGACTGTACATTCTCATATCTGGTCGTCTGACTGTGTGGAATGGTGAGACCCACCCAGGTCTCCTCTGTAGGTTTTCCCAGCTGTGCTGCGTAGCTCTCCGAGGTCTTTCCGGGAACCGAACTTTCCGGCACATGCAGCTGGTTTCTTTCGTGAGCGCGCGAACACGCACGATGGCGCGCGCGCAAGCACGCACGATGGCGCGCGTGCGCATAAAGTGAAAGTTAAAACGAAGAGCAGAAGCGGCCGTTCCTCTTTCGTGAAAACTCATTTCTTTAGAGCTGCTTTTTGTGTTTAGTTTGTTGTCCTTCCCCCGCATCTCCGATTAGCACGGTTGGCTACGTACTGTGTGAAAGAACTTCAACGTACATACATACATACACACGTACGTACATCAGCGGAGTTTTGTTGCAAGCGCTCTGCTGACAGCCATGATGTGTGCCGCGCTCACGGTGCCTGCGTGCGGGACTGCCGCAGTTCAGTCGATGCAACTCAGCGGCCTGTCCCCCTGCTGCTCGTGGAACTCTCAACAGTTGCTGCTGGTCTGGCTGTTGCTGCCTCTAGAGGACTCGTAGTAAGTTCGACGATTTCTACGAATATCAAACGTGCTCTGCTTTCACGTGGTTTCTCCAGAAACAGGCTCACTGAGTCTCGAGACTCTTTTCAACAGGATCTTGCACTGGGATGTCTGATTAGATTCTACATTCAAGTGTTCAGGGTACTGAAACTGCAATCTATTTTAATTGTGCAGTCGATGCATCGTTCTTTCATCGTGTACAGGCTGGTTGTGCCTTACGATTACTTTCATCAAATTATTTTAATGAAAGTGGGGTGCCGCGGTGGCTAGGAGATGTTAACTACCTCGCATGGTATACAGGAGGTCGTGGGTTCGATCCCAACCCATCGCCTGCTGTATATTTGGTATTTGCATGTATCTTGCCGTGATCACGGTTTTCTCCTCCTTATTTAGAAGCATGCGCTTCACATTTCCATGTGATAATCCACTTTGTTCAGCTATCATTTGTAACCAGGTCGCTTCTGAAATACGTTGTAACAATGTTATCTTATGCTGTAAAACTTGCGTAAATGACGGCAAGTATTCACGTACAGGTTTCAGGTTTTTATTTTGTTTCACCAGGCAAGAACCCAAGAGACCAGGGTACAGCCTCATTTGCAAGAGTGACCTGGGGCACGAGTCTGCCAGTAGGAGGGGGCAATGATTGCTGCTGCTGTGTGTACACAGTACAACAATCCCAACTGAGTTATATTGCGGTGTACTTTATATTTTTTTGGTCACATTTGGACTATGACATCGGTGATTTTTAACGTCAACTGTGAAGCCAGACAGCGCGCATTTTTGCGATTAATGCACCCCGCGGTATTAACCGGGGAGGCCGCTGGATTCTAACCACGAACCTCCACAACAAGCGGCGAACGTCACTGCAGCAGGAGGAAGCGGAGTTAACGCGAGGGCAGCAGGCGACATGGGGGGCGGCCACAGGACCGGTTCGGATTATCGCCGCTGGTGTAGGCCGTGAGCGAGAACGGAACGTGGGTGTTGCCGGGTTCGGAGTGGCAACGCGCTAAACCGCTGCACCACCGCTCCCTCACACATCTATTTGTAGACACACACGCAGATGCGTTGGCTGGTGCTCTTGAGGAACTTCCCTGCGAGGGCGGTTATCACTGCACAGCTGGCAGGCTACACCGCTCATCGTTATTTTTTATAATTTTTCACCCACGCTAACTTCCGGCGCATTTCCTGTGAAATTTTGCCCCCACGCTAACAAGAAGCGATTTTAACGTCGCTCACCCTGCAACCTTCAATCACTTCTGTGCGAGCCCAATAAAGGGCCTGTACTGTGGGGAGCGGTGGTGTCGCGATTAGCGCACTGCACGACGAACTACGGCGACTCAAATTACATTCCCGCTAACGACGACGCACACATTGCTCTAGCACAGGAAGTGAACCGTTTGTCTCCTTGGTATTTGCTGATTGAATTTAATCGACACTATATAGGATTTTTTTTGTGGTGCCACGGTGGCGAGATGTTAACTACCTCGTCTGGTATACAGAAGGTTGTGGGTGCGATCACGACCCTGACGCCTGCTGTATATTTGGAGTTTGTGGTCGCGTGGATTTTCTCCAGGTCCTCCGGTTTTTCCTTCTGTATTTAGAATCACCATCACGCATTTACAGTATTTGGCTGCTATAAATTTCCACCCAATAAACCATTTCTTTGAGCTATCATTTGTGGCCAGCTCGCTTCTGAAAAAGAGCTCTATTTGTTTTTAACATTTTTATATGTTCGTTTAGATTTTTTTTTACAGAATCTGCACTGTGTACAGCCCAAACGACGGTGACTTGCGTGTAGGATTTGATGCGTGCATTGTCATCATGAGACGACAATTTAACTCGTGAGCCCATCCGTCGTTTGTGGCCAGGTCACTTCTGAAAAAGAGCTCTAGAGCTCAGTGTGCCTTGCCTGATCAACTATGAATAGTTTGAATAGTTAAATAGTTTTGTTTGTCCTGCGCGCGCGCGCGTGCGTGCGTGTGTGTGTGTGTCGCAGGTGATCGCGGGCATGGAGGCGGAGATGGCGGTGCGGGCGCTCGAGGCGGAGATGCAGCAGCGGCGGATCCACGAGCTGGAGGAGATGCACACGCAGCTGCGCGTCGCGCTGGAGGCGGAGCGCCGCAGCAAGCGCGACGAGGAGGCGGCGCGCGAACTGCAGGCGCGGTGAGTGGGACGACGCCGCCATGCAGCGCAGTCACCCAGACTCTACCCAGACTCTCACTCAGACCCTCACTCAGACCCTCACCCAGAGCCTCACCCAAACTCTCACTCAGAGCATCACTCAGAGCCTCACTCAGAGCCTCACTCAGACCCTCACCCAGACTCTCACCCAGAGCCTCACTCAGACTCTCACCCAGACTCTCACCCAGACACTCACCCAGACCCTCACCCAGACTCTCACTCAGAGCCTCACTCAGAGCCTTACTCAGACTCTCACTCAGACTCTCACCCAGACTCTCACCCAGACCCTCACTCGGACTCTCACCCAGACTCTCACCCAGACCCTCACTCAAACTCTCACTCAGACTCAGACTCTCACCCAGACTCTCACCCAGAGCCTCACCCAGACTCTCACCCAGACTCTCACTCAGACTCTCACTCAGAGCCTCACCCAGACTCTCACCCAGACCCTCACCCAGACTCTCACCCAGACTCTCACCCAGACTCTCACTCAGAGCCTCACCCAGACTCTCACCCAGACCCTCACTCAGACTCTCACTCAGACTCTCACTCAGACGCTCACCCAAACTCTCACCCAGACTCTCACTCAAAGCCTCACTCAGAGCCTCACTCAGACCCTCACCCAGACTTTCACTCAGACCCTCACCCAGATCACCCAGACTCTCACCCAGACTCTCACCCAGACTCTTACCCAGACTCTCACCCAGACTCTCACCCAGACCCTCACTCAGAGCCTCACTCAGACTCTCACCCAGATTCTCACTCAGAGCCTCACCCAGACTCTCACCCAGACTCTCACCCAGACACTCACCCAGACCCTCACCCAGACTCGCACTCAGACTCTCACTCAGACCCTCACCCAGACTCTCACTCAGAGCCTCACCCAGACTCTCACCCAGACTCTCACCCAGACTCTCACTCAGACCCTCACTCAGACCCTCACCCAGACTCTCACCCAGACTCTCACCCAGACTCTCACCCAGACTCTGACCCAGACCCTCACTCAGAGCCTCACTCAGACTCTCACCCAGATTATCACTCAGACCCTCACCCAGACTCTCACCCAGACTCTCACCCAGACACTCACCCAGACCCTCACCCAGACTCGCACTCAGACTCTCACTCAGACCCTCACCCAGACTCTCACTCAGAGCCTCACCCAGACTCTCACCCAGACTCTCACCCAGACTCTCACCCAGACTCTGACCCAGACCCTCACTCAGAGCCTCACTCAGACCCTCACCCAGACTCTCACTCAGACCCTCACCCAGATCACCCAGACTCTCACCCAGACACTCACCCAGACCCTCACCGAGACTCGCACTCAGACTCTCACTCAGACCCTCACCCAGACTCTCACTCAGAGCCTCACCCAGACTCTCACCCAGACTCTCACCCAGACTCTCACTCAGACTCTCACTCAGACCCTCACCCAGACTCTCACTCAGAGCCTCACCCAGACTCTCACCCAGACTCTCACTCAGACCCTCACTCAGACCCTCACCCAGACTCTCACCCAGACTCTCACCCAGACTCTCACCCAGACTCTCACCCAGACTCTGACCCAGACCCTCACTCAGAGCCTCACTCAGACCCTCACCCAGACTCTCACTCAGAGCCTCACCCAGACTATCACCCAGACTCTGACCCAGACCCTCACTCAGAGCCTCACTCAGACCCTCACCCAGACTCTCACTCAGACCCTCACCCAGATCACCCAGACTTTCACCCAGACACTCACCCAGACTCTCACCCAGACTCTCACCCAGACTCTCACTCAGACCCTCACTCAGACCCTCACCCAGACTCTCACCCAGACTCTCACCCAGACTCTCACCCAGACTCTGACCCAGACCCTCACTCAGAGCCTCACTCAGACTCTCACCCAGATTATCACTCAGACCCTCACCCAGATCACCCAGACTCTCACCCAGACTCTCACCCAGACTCTTACCCAGACTCTCACCCAGACTCTCACCCAGACCCTCACTCAGAGCCTCACTCAGACTCTCACCCAGATTCTCACTCAGAGCCTCACCCAGACTCTCACCCAGACTCTCACCCAGACACTCACCCAGACCCTCACCCAGACTCGCACTCAGACTCTCACTCAGACCCTCACCCAGACTCTCACTCAGAGCCTCACCCAGACTCTCACCCAGACTCTCACCCAGACTCTCACTCAGACCCTCACTCAGACCCTCACCCAGACTCTCACCCAGACTCTCACCCAGACTCTCACCCAGACTCTGACCCAGACCCTCACTCAGAGCCTCACTCAGACTCTCACCCAGATTATCACTCAGACCCTCACCCAGACTCTCACCCAGACTCTCACCCAGACACTCACCCAGACCCTCACCCAGACTCGCACTCAGACTCTCACTCAGACCCTCACCCAGACTCTCACTCAGAGCCTCACCCAGACTCTCACCCAGACTCTCACCCAGACTCTCACCCAGACTCTGACCCAGACCCTCACTCAGAGCCTCACTCAGACCCTCACCCAGACTCTCACTCAGACCCTCACCCAGATCACCCAGACTCTCACCCAGACACTCACCCAGACCCTCACCGAGACTCGCACTCAGACTCTCACTCAGACCCTCACCCAGACTCTCACTCAGAGCCTCACCCAGACTCTCACCCAGACTCTCACCCAGACTCTCACTCAGACTCTCACTCAGACCCTCACCCAGACTCTCACTCAGAGCCTCACCCAGACTCTCACCCAGACTCTCACTCAGACCCTCACTCAGACCCTCACCCAGACTCTCACCCAGACTCTCACCCAGACTCTCACCCAGACTCTCACCCAGACTCTGACCCAGACCCTCACTCAGAGCCTCACTCAGACCCTCACCCAGACTCTCACTCAGAGCCTCACCCAGACTATCACCCAGACTCTGACCCAGACCCTCACTCAGAGCCTCACTCAGACCCTCACCCAGACTCTCACTCAGACCCTCACCCAGATCACCCAGACTTTCACCCAGACACTCACCCAGACTCTCACCCAGACTCTCACCCAGACTCTCACTCAGACCCTCACTCAGACCCTCACCCAGACTCTCACCCAGACTCTCACCCAGACTCTCACCCAGACTCTGACCCAGACCCTCACTCAGAGCCTCACTCAGACTCTCACCCAGATTATCACTCAGACCCTCACCCAGACTCTCACCCAGACTCTCACCCAGACACTCACCCAGACCCTCACCCAGACTCGCACTCAGACTCTCACTCAGACCCTCACCCAGACTCTCACTCAGAGCCTCACCCAGACTCTCACCCAGACTCTCACCCAGACTCTCACCCAGACTCTGACCCAGACCCTCACTCAGAGCCTCACTCAGACCCTCACCCAGACTCTCACTCAGACCCTCACCCAGATCACCCAGACTCTCACCCAGACACTCACCCAGACCCTCACCGAGACTCGCACTCAGACTCTCACTCAGACCCTCACCCAGACTCTCACTCAGAGCCTCACCCAGACTCTCACCCAGACTCTCACCCAGACTCTCACTCAGACTCTCACTCAGACCCTCACCCAGACTCTCACTCAGAGCCTCACCCAGACTCTCACCCAGACTCTCACTCAGACCCTCACTCAGACCCTCACCCAGACTCTCACCCAGACTCTCACCCAGACTCTCACCCAGACTCTCACCCAGACTCTGACCCAGACCCTCACTCAGAGCCTCACTCAGACCCTCACCCAGACTCTCACTCAGAGCCTCACCCAGACTATCACCCAGACTCTGACCCAGACCCTCACTCAGAGCCTCACTCAGACCCTCACCCAGACTCTCACTCAGACCCTCACCCAGATCACCCAGACTCTCACCCAGACACTCACCCAGACCCTCACCGAGACTCGCACTCAGACTCTCACTCAGACCCTCACCCAGACTCTCACTCAGAGCCTCACCCAGACTCTCACCCAGACTCTCACCCAGACTCTCACTCAGACTCTCACTCAGACCCTCAATCAGACTCTCACCCAGACTCTCACCCAGACCCTCACTCAGAGCCTCACTCAGACTCTCACCCAGATTCTCACTCAGACCCTCACCTAGACTCTCACCCAGACTCTCACCCAGACACTCACCCAGACCCTCACCCAGACTCGCACTCAGACTCTCACTCAGACCCTCACCCAGACTCTCACTCAGAGCCTCACCCAGACTCTCACCCAGACTCTCACCCAGACTCTCACTCAGACCCTCACTCAGACCCTCACCCAGACTCTCACCCAGACTCTCACCCAGACTCTCACCCAGACTCTGACCCAGACCCTCACTCAGAGCCTCACTCAGACCCTCACCCAGACTCTCACTCAGACCCTCACCCAGATCACCCAGACTCTCACCCAGACACTCACCCAGACCCTCACCGAGACTCGCACTCAGACTCTCACTCAGACCCTCACCCAGACTCTCACTCAGAGCCTCACCCAGACTCTCACCCAGACTCTCACCCAGACTCTCACTCAGACCCTCACTCAGACCCTCACCCAGACTCTCACCCAGACTCTCACCCAGACTCTCACTCAGACTCTCACTCAGACCCTCACCCAGACTCTCACCCAGACTCTCACCCAGACCCTCACTCAGAGCCTCACTCAGACTCTCACCCAGATTCTCACTCAGACCCTCACCCAGACTCTCACCCAGACTCTCACCCAGACACTCACCCAGACCCTCACCCAGACTCGCACTCAGACTCTCACTCAGACCCTCACCCAGACTCTCACTCAGAGCCTCACCCAGACTCTCACCCAGACTCTCACCCAGACTCTCACTCAGACCCTCACTCAGACCCTCACCCAGACTCTCACCCAGACTCTCACCCAGACTCTCACCCAGACTCTCACCCAGACTCTGACCCAGACCCTCACTCAGAGCCTCACTCAGACCCTCACCCAGACTCTCACTCAGACCCTCACCCAGATCACCCAGACTCTCACCCAGACACTCACCCAGACCCTCACCGAGACTCGCACTCAGACTCTCACTCAGACCCTCACCCAGACTCTCACTCAGAGCCTCACCCAGACTCTCACCCAGACTCTCACCCAGACTCTCACTCAGACTCTCACTCAGACCCTCACCCAGACTCTCACCCAGACTCTCACCCAGACTCTCACTCAGACCCTCACTCAGACTCTCACTCAGACTCTCACTCAGACCCTCACTCAGAGCCTCACTCAGACTCCCACTCAGACTCCCACCCAAACTCTCACCCAGACTCTCGTTCAAAGAAGCAAAGACAACGAACCCCTTCTGTAGCCTTCTTAGGGACTGCTGGGGCAAGTGCCGTGAGTGAGTAGAGGCGGCGAGGCCGATCTTGACATCAGTGTTACCAATGATCGCACAGGCAGGTAGCTGCATGCAAACAAAATACAAAGATCCCCCGTATATCCTTGAACAGACTGTTGGGGCAAGTGCTGTTAGCGAGCAGCACCTATGAAGGCCGGCACGGCACACGAAGGGGTGGGTGGCCAGCGCCACGCTGGGCCGCCTTTGTCTCCCCGGTGCTGATGTTTACACACACCATCCCAGATACTCACTTAAGGCTGAGTCGACCTAGAGCACAGATACAGTTTGGTCAGAGCAAAGAGACACAAGTGCCCTGAAACACGGACGAACTCATAAAACGAAACTGAAAACTAAACAATTTTTTTTGTACCAGGTAAGGCCCACTGAGCTACGTAGCTCTTTCTCAGAAGCGACCTGGCCATCACAAACGATAGCTCAACGAAGTGGCTCATCATCACGTGGAAATGTATAGCAGTCAAATACTCCAACCGCATGTCGAATCTAAACATGGAGGGGGAAAAACCGGAGGACCCGGAGAAAAAATCCACGTGACCACGGGGGGAGAGAGACACACAAGCTCCAAATATACAGGCGTCGGGATCGGGATCGAAACCGCGACCTCCTGCATACCAGGCGAAGGAGTTAACATCTCACCACCCCAGCGCCAACAATTTGAGTGTGAACTCCCCCCCAGCCCCGTCCCCTACTGACACGACTCCACGAGACGCATTGTCGCGAGCGGAGGGCTCGGGCGGGCAGGCTGGGGGCCGGGCGGGCGAGCGGGCGGGCGGGCGGGCGAGCGAGCGGGCGGGTGGGTGGGCGGCGTTTCTGAGCGCGTGGCGCGCGCCGGAACAGGCTGCTGCAGGAGGAGGCGGCGAAGCGTCACGAGCTGGAGCGGCTGCGCCAGCAGCAGGAGCTGGAGATGGAGGTGACGCGGCAGGAGAAGGCCGTGCTGGAGATGGAGCGTGCCGAGCGCGACGTCGCGCTGCGCGAGGCCGGGCAGCAGCTCGAGCAGCTGGAGCAGGAGCGGCAGCAGGCGCAGCTCAAGTACCAGGTGTGTGTGAGCGTGTGTGTGCGTGTATATGTGTGTGAGCGTGTGTGTGAGCGTGTGTGCGTGTGAGCGTGTGCGTGTGTATGTGTGCGTGTGTGTGTGTGTGAGCGTGTGTGAGCGTGTGTGTGTGCTTGTGTTCCTTTCCCTGTACACCTTGGCTGCGGCAGGGATGTCCTCTGGCTCCCACATTATTTAACATCTATTTTGACTGCGTAGTTCGTGAAGCCTTCATTAGCTGTACCGGGGGAATTTCCATTTGGTACAAATATAATGGGAGGCTGATCGATGCCCGGGTGCAATCAAGGGATGGCTCCCTATTGGTCAATCACGTTATGTATGCCGATGATTTGGTAATAGCTGCTCATTCAGAGGAGGAGTTGGAGACGCTGCTGCTGAGACTGGAGCGTGCTACTAGGAGGTGGGGCCTTACCATCAGCCCCACCAAAACTAAGCACCTGCCTGGGTATTTTGTACCATCGGACACTCCACCCCCACAACTCCCAATCGGTGATGGGGCAGTAGTGGAGAGTGGAGAGTTTCCCATACCTGGGCAGTATGCTTATGACTGGCTCCAGTTTAACAGCAGAGGTCTCACTCCGAATCAGTCGAGCGGCAATATCTTTTCATCGGTTGCGTAACGCTGTGTGGAAGCTACCTGGTCTGTCGCTCCGCACGAAGCTCCAGGTCTTCTCGGCCACAGTCATTCCATCCCTTCTCTACGCTTGCGAAACGTGGACCCCCCTAATGGAGCATCTTCGCCGGTTGGAAACATTTAGGCTGGCCTGCCTACGATCCATCCTGGGTTCAACCAGGCTGGATTGTGTGAGGAGCTCACAAATCCTTGAAAGATCTGGGCAAAGTCCCATCGGTGAGCTCCTCCGGCAGGCAAGGCTGCGTTGGCTGGGTCATGTTGCCCGCATGCCCAGCCACTGCATGCCTAAACAGCTTTTGTTCAGCCGGATCGAGGGGGCTAAACGGGCGTGGCACGGGCTAGAGAAGAGATGGAGTGATGTGGTACAGGAGGACGTGGAGCTGAGTGGACTTGCCGATGACTGGTACCAGCAGTATCAAGATCGGCCTCAGTGGAGGAGGCTCGTGAAGGACGCTACTGGGCAGTTGGAGGCAGTCGTCCTCCAACAACAACGGAGGGCGGAGGAGCGACGCTCACAACTACGAGCAGAGCGCCGGGTGGCTAAAGCACAGCAAGTTGGTACAGTAGGGGGCACAGGTGGTGCATCAGCCAGTCATCTCGGTCATCTCGGTCAGTCGACCCGTGGCACCTGGGTCTGCCCCGTGACCTCCTGCCAGCGGGCGTTCGACACTTCACGTGGCCTCAAGGTGCACTTGGCCTGGCACAAGCATCGTGGTGACGTCACCGCCACTTAGTGGCGAATGGCGGTTGTTGTTGTTGTTGTGAGGGCGTGCGTGTGTGTGTGTGCGTGTGTGTGAGCGTGTGTGCGTGTGTGTGAGCGTGTGTGTGTGTGTGAGCGAGTGTGTGTAAGTGTGTGTGTGACCGTGTGTGTGTGTGTGAGCGTGTGTGTGTGTGTGTGAGCGAGTGTGTGTGTGTATGTGCGAATGTGTGTGAGCGTGTGTGTGAGCGTGTGTGTGAGCGTGTGTGTGAGCATGTGTGTGTGCATGCGTGTGGTAGTGTAGCGGGTAGCGCTCTGCGCTTTGAACCTGGCGACCCGGGTTCGATTCCCGCTCACAGCCACCACAAGTGACGAGTATCTGAACCGGCCCCCCCTAGGTCGACTCAGCCTCAAATGGATACCTGTTGCGTTGTGTAGTAAACATCGCCACTGGTTAGACAAAGGCGGCCAGGCGTGGTGCTGGCCACCCACCTCCTCGTGTGCCGTGCCGGCCTTCATAGGTGCTCGCTAACAGCACTTGCCTCAACAGTCTGTTAATGCTATACGGGGGATATTTGTCTTTGTGTGTGCGGGGGAATGCATGGATGTGTGCCTGTTCGTGTGAATTCGCGGGTGTGTGAATGTGCGAGCTTATTTTTGGCAGTTTCTGTAGAGGGTACTAAAGTGGCACGGCACGGGCTAGAGAAGAGACGGACTGATGCGGTACAGGAAGATGTGGAGCTGAGTGGACTTGCCGATGACCGGTACCAGTGGTGTCAAGATCGACCTCGATAGAGGAGGTTCGTGAAGGACGCTACTGGGCAGTTTGAGGCAGTCACCTTCCAGCAATAACGGGGAGCAGATGAATGATGAGCAGAGCACCGGGTGGCTAAAATGCAGAAAGTTGGCCGAGTGGGGACTTCAGGTGGTGCACTTACCATTGATCTCAGTCAATCAATGCATGGCAGTTCGGCCTATCCTGTGACCTCCCAGCAAGCCTTAAACACTTCACGTGGCCTAAAGGTGCACCGAGCTTGTGCCAAACATTCAAAAAATGTTTTTTTTAATGTTTTACCTGGTAAGGCCCACTGAGCTATGTAGCTCTTTTTCAGAAGCAGCCTGGCCACAAATGACAGCTCAACGAAGTGGTTTATCACGTGGAAATGTAGAGCAGCCAAATACTCTAAACACACGTTTATAAATATTGAGGGGGAAACCGGGGGACCCAGAGAAAAATCCACGTGACCACGGGGAGAGAAACGTGCAAACTCTAAAAATACAGCAGGCGCCAGGGTCGGGGTCGAACCCAAACCTCCTCCATACCAGGCGAGGGAGTTAACGTCTCGCTTCCGGCGGGAGCGGGGAGACAAATGAGTGTCTGGGGCACGATGCCCTGGCCACAACAGTCCGCCGAAGGCCGTTGCCTCCCTGGCAGTCTGTTGAAGGCTGTACGGGGGACCGTGTGCCTGTTGCTTGACTTGTGCGTGTCTGTTGCGTGACTTGTGCGTGTCTGTTGCGTGACTTGTGCGTGCCTGTTGCGTGGCTTGTGCGTGTCTGTTGCGTGACTTGTGCGTGTCTGTTGCGTGACTTGTGCGTGTCTGTTGCGTGACTTGTGCGTGTCTGTTGCGTGACTTGTGCGTGCCTGTTGCGTGACTTGTGCGTGCCTGTTGCGTGGCTTGTGCGTGTCTGTTGCGTGGCTTGTGCGTGTCTGTTGCGTGACTTGTGCGTGTCTGTTGCGTGGCGACCTCCGGGCGCGCCCCGTGCTGCAGGAGGCTTCGGAGCGGCTTGCGTCGGCGAGCACGCGCACCCAGAGCTGGCGCGAGCGCGTCAAGGAGTGCGAGTCCCTGCTGCGACCCATCAGGCCAGGTGCCCGCTCGCCCTCCGTTCAGACCCCCCCACCCAACCCCCCCCCGTGCCCGACAAGCGGGCCGCACGCGCATAGTGAGCAAGCGCGATCCTGCAAGCGTGTTTAGGAGGTAGTTCACCGTGCCGACGTTTACACACCGCACCAGATGGTCATTCGAGGCTGAGTCGACCTAGGGGAGGGCCAGCACCACGCCTGGGAGCCTTTGTCTCCCCAGTGGCGATGTTTACACGCCGCACGAGGTGCTCATTTGAGGCTGAGTCGACCTAGGGGAGGCCCAGGACCGGTTTAGATAATCGTCACTGGTGTTGACCGTGAGCGGGAATCGAACTCGGGGTGCCGGGTTCGTAGCGCAGCGTAGCGCTAACCATTGCACCACCGCTCCCCACAAATACTCACACCCGCAGTCGCCCATTGCAGTGGAAGCAATCAGCACACCCTTTGGGAGCAGGCACATGTGTGCTTATATCAAAATTAGTGTGCTTGTATCAGAAGTTGCCCTTTGTCTCACCCCACCAGTGTCATGTAGGGATGTGTTGCTTACAGCAGAATTGTGCTTATAAGAAGATCCAGCTTTCACTGTGGCAACATTTTAGAAAGTTGAAAAAAACATCTTTGTTCTAATCGCTGGTTGAATTCGCATTTTGCTCGTTTTTTTTAAAGAAATGTGCTTCATTGTGAGTAGATAGCCGCCCATTCATAGCCGGAGCATCCAGACTGGCAACCAGCGTTGCTACTCTGACACCTCGTGGCTGACGTGCAGCCCCACCAGGGGTCTGGGAGGCTCGCACGGCGGAACGTTCGCGACTCGCCAACGCTGCCCGCGCGGCGTCGGCTTTGGTCAGGGGTCTGCAACCAAAATAACAAGAGCTCTAGAGAGGTTCTCTTACTGGGTGTTTTGGCCTACTTTTCCATGCCGGCCAGACTTTGTGGACGAAGTGGGGGCGCCCGCTCTGCTACCAACGTTCTCCACCCAACTCTCCAGTCCTTACGCTGACACGGAGGCCATGAGCTACTTCACCCTTTCCCGCGCAAGCGGTTAGCGTTAGCTTTTTATTCAGAGAGGCGTCATTCTATAATAACTGGCACCAAACTGTGCTACGTGACTTTGTGGGAGCCTCGGTACCGATAATGTTATTATTATTATTTTCTTCCGGTTCCGTTCCAATGACCTACACCTACAGCACGTCATCGGAACGGAATAGAAATAAAAACTGATCATGTACATGTACGTCATCGGGGCGGGACAGGATTATGCATGATAGTGGGGTTCTCTTTATTGTTCCTTGACGCTTTGCCTTCACCGGTCACCTGCCAGTCGACGTCGAAGCAGCCAAGGAGTTCTCTAGAACCGCTTTGTGTGTTTAGTTTGTTGCACTTCCCCCGCACCTCTGATTAGCACGGTTGGCTACGTACGATGCAAAAGAACTTCAAAATGCTTACATTACACCACCACCAACAACTTGGGCCCCTTAATTATCGTTTTCGTTGTTAGTGGGTAGTTTAAACTTCATCCAGAGTCGTCAGCGTAGCGTAGCACCATCCGCCCTCACACAGAAGCCGCGTGCCCCCCCTTACCCCCCTCGTTCGTCTTCCCCTCGCGCAGGCGACCGGCCGGCAGCCATTGTCTCCCACCGCGGCCAGGGGGCCTTCACCAAGGAAGAGTTCAACATCTACCGCAAGAAGAAGGAGTCTGTGGACGCCGGCGACGACGGCGAAGAGGTGGCGGCCGCGTCGGCAGCTGCCCCCATCGCATACGGCCGGGAGTGAAGGGCGGAGACCGGAGAAGTCACCCCATGAACCTCCCCGGCCATGACGAGGGGGTCGAAATGGCCGTGACGACCCCCGTCTGAGTGAAGACTCTCCCTGACTGTGACGACCCCCATCCGAGTGAAGTCTCTCCCTGACTGTGACGACCCCCGTCTGCGTGAAGTCTCTCTCTGACCGTGACGACCCCCGTCTGAGTGAAGTCTCTCTTTGACCGTGACGACCCCCGTCTGAGTGAAGTCTCTCCCTAACTGTGACGACCCCCGTCTGAGTGAAGTCTCTCCCTGACTGTGACGACCCCCGTCTGAGTGAAGTCTCTCTCTGACCGTGACAACCCCCGTCTGAGTGAAGTCTCCCTGACCGTGACAACCCCCGTCTGAGTGAAGTCTCTCCCTGACCGTGACAACCCCCGTCTGAGTGAAGTCTCTCTCTGACCGTGACGACCCCCGTCTGAGTGAAGTCTCTCCCTGACCATGATGACCCCCGTCTGAGTGAAGTCTCTCTCTGACCGTGACGACCCCCGTCTGAGTGAAGTCTCTCTCTGACCGTGACGACCCCCGTCTGAGTGAAGTCTCCCTGACCGTGACGACCCCCGTCTGAGTGAAGTCTCTCCCTGACCGTGACGACCCCCGTCTGGGTGAAGTCTCTCTCTGACTGTGACGACCCCCGTCTGAGTGAAGTCTCCCTGACCGTGACGACCCCCGTCTGAGTGAAGTCTCTCCCTGACTGTGACGACCCCCGTCTGAGTGAAGTCTCTCTCTGACCGTGACGACCCCCGTCTGAGTGAAGTCTCTCCCTGACTGTGACGACCCCCGTCTGAGTGAAGTCTCTCCCTGACTGTGACGACCCCCGTCTGAGTGAAGTCTCTCCCTGACTGTGACGACCCCCGTCTGAGTGAAGTCTCTCCCTGACTGTGACAACCCCCGTCTGAGTGAAGTCTCTCCCTGACTGTGACGACCCTCGTCTGAGTGAAGTCTCTCTCTGACTGTGACGACCCCCGTCTGAGTGAAGTCTCTCTCTGACTGTGACGACCCCCGTCTGAGTGAAGTCTCTCTGACTGTGACGACCCCCGTCTGAGTGAAGTCTCTCTCTGACCGTGACGACCCCCGTCTGAGTGAAGTCTCTCCCTGACTGTGACGACCCCCGTCTGAGTGAAGTCTCTCTCTGACCGTGACGACCCCCGTCTGAGTGAAGTCTCTCCCTGACTGTGACGACCCCCATCTGAGTGAAGTCTCTCCCTGACTGTGACGACCCCCGTCTGAGTGAAGTCTCTCCCTGACTGTGACGACCCCCGTCTGAGTGAAGTCTCTCCCTGACTGTGACAACCCCCATCTGAGTGAAGTCTCTCCCTGACTGTGACGACCCCCGTCTGAGTGAAGTCTCTCTCTGACTGTGACGACCCCCGTCTGAGTGAAGTCTCTCTCTGACCGTGACGACCCCCGTCTGAGTGAAGTCTCTCCCTGACCGTGACGACCCCCGTCTGAGTGAAGTATCTCCCTGACCGTGACGACCCCCGTCTGAGTGAAGTCTCTCCCTGACCGTGACGACCCCCGTCTGAGTGAAGTCTCTCTCTGACCGTGACGACCCCCGTCTGAGTGAAGTTTCTCCCTGACCGTGACGACCCCCGTCTGAGTGAAGTATCTCCCTGACCGTGACGACCCCCGTCTGAGTGAAGTCTCTCTCTGACCGTGACGACCCCCGTCTGCGTGAACTCTTCAGGCACTGCTGTCTTAATGATTTAGGCCTGGTGGCTTCATGGGGGGCCGGGGTTTGTGTTGAGGCACCCTGAAGATGAGTGTGTGGCTGACTGGAGCTGGGTAGATATCTTCAAATGGCGCTGTGGGCTGCGGTCGTTGTTGAAGCACCTCTGAGGTCACGGGTTCAAACGTCGGAGCCTTCGTGCTCTCACGCTTACTGATGGCTGCACTGGGGTGGCTAAGTCAGGAGCGTCCAGGTTCTGAGTTCAATCCGACGTAGGGGCCAATGTAAAATGATTGAAATTTTCAAGACCGTCCCCTGCACCCCCATCACCAGATCCGCCTCCGTGGAAGCCTGTGTCTGACTGTGCAGCCAGCAACCTTAGACACATAGGTTCAGTTCCTGGAGCTGGTGGAACCTCACTGGGCTGGGACTGAGCCACTCCAACTGACCTGATCGGTTCACGCTCTGAGGACTTGAACTCCGAACCCCAGTCTAATGCACATTGCATTGTATGCAGAGACTCGCTCACACATTATTCTTCATATTTTAACATGTAGCATTGTGTTACGTTGCTTAAATGAGCATACGGGGCTTCTTCCATCAGATTACCGTTAGGTTTTATTAGTAGCTACAAGGTTTATACGTGTAACCTTAACAGCAGGCTGTAAACTTAGAGCTGGCATGAAACCGTGGGTCATTGTTGCAAAGCTACATTGTCCAAAATAGAAATCGCTTCCATGTCATTTGAAGTCATTAGCACAGAGTGTTACGTGTAAAAATAATTGTATTAAAAAAGATAAACGAATGGTCATTAATCTGGCTTCATAAGGTGCAGCGGCAGACCAGTGCTGTTAGCAAGCACCTGTTAAGGCCGGCGATGCACGTGACCTGGGTGGTGTGGCGAGCACCACGCCCAGCCACCTTTATCTCCCCAGCGCTGATGTTTAGGCAGTGTTGACCTCAGCGGAGGTCATGGACAGGTTGAGATACCACTCGGTTGACGTTGTGCACATACAGAAATCGAAGCCAGGTCACGGGGGCCACAGAGCCGTGCGCTAACAGCTGCACCACTGCTCCTCATACATTCGGGATGACTTTTCTCATTTACATACTTCGGATGCAAAAATAAATTCAGATCTTTTTTTTATAAAAATGTTGGGTCCTTTATTAGTTTTAGGGACCATTTTCAGATTTTTAAGAATAAGTTTGGGTCTGTTATCAGATGTAGGGACCGTGTGCGTGACGTAATCATTTAATGCACGAGAGGGCACGGGATTCACGTCATGTGACCTCCTCTCCTGTGATGTCATACACATCCTAAATACATATATATATATAACAACACGTATATCCGTTTCGCCACATAAAATATAAAAGTATTTCTTACATAACCCACCAGCCACCACAGCCTCTTGGGAGTGAGTCATTGACCAGTTTGGACATCCAGTGTCTCGTCAGGAATAATACGCGCACACACATATAGAGTGAGTGTCGAACATATGGAAGATATATGGAAGGATATATGTTTTCAAGTTGTAGTGTAGTTATAGGTTAGACAGATCGATCTATATATATGGGTTTTATATATATGTGGCAGTACGGCACGTGAGGGCAGGTGATGGGGCCATCCTTGTCTCCCTCAATGCTAATGGCGACTTCTTTTCACCAGGTATTAATTTAAGGCTGAGTAGAACTAGGGGAGATACAGGGCAGGGTCAGATGCCACACACATGTCCGGAAATCAAAACCCAGGAATCGCAAAGCAGAGTGCAAACCGCTGTGCCACCGCTCCAAAGACAACTGACTTTTGGGGAAAGTGCTGTTAGTGAGCACCTATGAAGGATGGCACAGAACACGAGGGGGTGGGTGGGTGGCCAGCACCACGCCTGGCAGTCTTTGTCTCACGTTTTTTACACACATATATAGGCGATTTTTGTTGTTCAAGAGCCAAGGATACAGCAGGAATATCAGAGAAAGGGCGAGAGACTGCTTAACACGCGACCTATATCATCGATAATATAGGTATTTTTGGGTTATATTGTGTAAATACCACGTGCGTTCAAGCCGAGTCCAGTTACAGTCAACCTGCTCAACTGACCAATGGCGTGACGCTCATCTCCATTGGTGGCACCAAGCCGATGGTGGAAATTCCACGTTCCTATGGCGGTGGGGGGGGGGGGGGCAAGGGGGAGCAAAATCTTCATGGGATGGACTTAAATGTTGACCTTCCCACAAAGTGATTACTCAGTTTATCAACATCGGCTCAGCCGACCCCTGAATGGGAATTTAACTTGCATGCTTCCCGTTGTGAGTCAAACCACCAAAAGCACAGATAATAATAACAACAACAAACTCAACACATCCGCCACAATGTCTCCCCACCACAAGTTGAGTTTAATGTAGAAAGTGTTAAGGTCGGACCCCGGAGAGGAAGCCCTCGCATTGTAAACTTCAACAACTTTCTCACACTGGGGGCTAAATAGAGGACACCGGATTTACGTGGCCGCGTGTCAACTACGCTCTAGTCTGGATTATAATACCAATCCCAATGACCGCCATTCACCCCTGCGATGTGTCACCACGGCGCCTGTGCCAGGCCGGACACACCTTGAGGCCACGTGAAGTGTCGCAGGCTCGCTGACAGGAGGTCACGGGACAGACCCCAGCAAAGTGCCATGGGGTTGGCTGAGATGACTAGCAGATGCACCAGCTGTGCCCCCCATACTGTGCCAACTTTGCTGCATGAGGATTATAATAAGCCCATATTCCCACCTGTGTTAGAAAGAAGAAGTCGAGGGTGCATCTTAGACGTGTGCGTGTGTGAGTTCAACCCAGACTCGTGGAAAATAAGAATAGGTTTTACCCTTTCTGGCAACCACAAGAGGTGTTAAGATGTTCAAACACCACAAATGCCTGTTGCAAGGGATCGAAGTCTGCATTAACCACAAGTGCTTGCGGTAAACATGCAAACAAACATGCTCTGATACTTAGAAAAGCATTGTCTTTGAAACTGATCGGCGTACACCAGAGAACCTTCTTCATGACCTAGTTCTTACCATAAAGTCACGTAGAAGGGAAATAATAAAATTATAAAAATACAACGTAATAAAATAAAATTCTCACGACGTTGTGACTTTACCGAAAGAACCAAGAATATGAATCCCTGCAGTCACGAAAGCTTAAATCGAAATGTAGTTCTTACCAGTTTCAGACGAGAGAACAGCGCCAAGAGACGAACAGTACAAAGACGACGCACAGAACATTTATAGCTCGGGGTGAGCAACTGCATTGACACGGGACACAAGATTGGAAGGGGGGTGGGGGGTGCGTTTCACTTCCTCAGAGTGTCAATCAATCAGCAAAATACGGCGCAGTTCTAAACCATTGTGTGTACATTGCAGCAAATTAGCATAAGATGCTGTTCTACGACGTTTATTTCAGTATTGACGTGATTGTACCTCTTAGCCGGATTAATATAAGATTCTAGATTAAACCTAATTCCTGTACATTGTTTTCCAATAAACTATTTGTGTAAGCAGTTCTGTACTTAACTGCACGTCGCATAAATATCTCAATGAACGGTGATGCTCTGGTTTGTCAGATCACTTGTTAATCCATTACTTAATTCAACAACAATATTCGTTTACTATTTAGGAAAGAACTAATATATATACGATATACCATGACAATAACAATGACACCATAATGTGATTTTAAGTAATGAACAAAAAGTTATGCAGGATAAGTGTTTGGAAATATGTTGTTGTTTGTAAAGAGAAGCCCTTTGAGATGCGATTTTTATATTGCGTGAACATTGTATGTTTTACAACTATTTAGATGCCTGACATATGTAATAAGCAATGTACATTTAATGAAAGTTGTATTGTTTGTCACGTTCACTCTTTTTAACATTTGTTTTCTTTTTTACATTTGTCTTGCAAGCAAAAAACTAATTTACGTTTTAGAAACGTAAGTTTTACCAAGCCTTGTAAGAGAGTGTGGATTTTTTTAAGTTTTGCTTTTTAAACGAACCTTATCAAATAAAATCTCATCTGACTAATAAAGTGTATTCCTGTCTCCATTATGAAAACAGCCAGTGTTAAACTGAGATTTTGGATATCGCAAACCTTCTACCACGTAAAAAAAAACTTCAATACAGGAGGGACCCGACATTGTGGATCCTATTATCCGTGCGGCTGTCTATGATTTAAACCACCTGTCCATGGGGGGAAAAAATGCGGATAATAGCACGAATATGCCGCTCAACTTCTCTTGTCTGCGACTAAAATGTGCGGATAACAGGGAAACGGGACGGGGAGAAATCGTGGATAATTAATCATTGGCCATTGGAAGAATAGGACCACATATAAAAATATTTCCGGACTCTACAGCTCCTGGGGATAATAGGAGTCACGGATGATAGGGTCACGTGTAAGTGGAATTTCTCCTGTATCGCTGTCGCCATGTGGCAGGTACATTTACTCTTGATTCCTTACCCCAGGCAGCCCAATGATTCTCTCGGTACAGGAAAATGTGGCCTCCCACCTGTTCCATCTGTACGGGATAGAGCGTTTCCCCATCGCATGCGTGCATCATCTCAACGTGCTCCGATTTCCACAGAGCTTGGACAATTGTTGGTGCCTGCCTTGCCGCTCGTCCGCGGTTACTCCTCGTGCCTCCGAGTCGTTCTCTCTCTACGCGAGCAGCGAATACTGTGCAACACGTCCTAAGTTTACATTAGAATTATTATGTTGCCTTACAGACTGCACGTGCTGTGAGTGAGCACTTGCGAAGGCCAGAACAGCTCCAGTTTCACTGGAGCTTCGGCAATTGTTGCGTGGCATCACACCGCGCTGGTGATATGTTAACTACCTTGCCTGGTATACAGGTCGTGGGTTCGATCCAGACCCTGAGACCTGTATATTTGGAGTTTGCATGTTCTCCCCGTTGTCCTGTGTGAGTTTTTATCTCCACATTTAGAAACATGTGTTCTCTCCACATTTAGAGTATTTGGCTCCTATAAATGTCCACATGATAAACCACTTAGAAACATGCGCTTAGAGTGTTATAAATGTCCACACGATAAGCTACCTCGTTGAGCTTTCATTTGTGGCCAGGTCGCTTCTGAAAAAGAGCTAGAATATCTCAGTGGACCTTACCTGGTTATATAAAAAAATTGTTTAGTTTAATTGAGCTGTCACCTATACAGGTGAGCCCCGCACCTACGACCTGATTGGTTCCTGTACGACGGTCGTAAGTCGAAGCCTTATTTCCCATAGGCGCAATGTTATACATCGGGGTTCCGTTCCTGGAAACCCATTACATACCAAAATTGACCACGAATATAAATGAAATAACCCAAACAAACATTTATTGTAACTTAACGTCACTTTTTCAAAGATGTATTAAGTCAAAACAAACACCGACATTTGAAAATCCTTAAGTACTTTTCCGCATGTGCATCACATTTCCTATTCTCAGACGTAGCGAAAGGCGACGATAAAATGCAACATTTACAAAGAAGTGAAGAGCGTTGAGAAAGAGACGCTGCTGCATTCGCTCTGGGCGCAGTTGCCGACCGACGAGTTACCCACGGCGGAAGGGCAATACAGCGCCAATCGACTCGGCGTCGGTAGCAGTCATTAGGCGGTCGTAGATTCGAGTTTTGATCGTTACTGTGGGAGTCTTAATTATTATAAGAAAAGTGGCAAATGTGGGGGGTCGCAAGTCGAGCCGTCGTAAGTGGGGGGCCACCTGTATAGCTCAGTGGGTCTTACCTGGTGAGATTAAAAATACAATTTTAGTATTTTTTCGTATCACATCCGGCCAACTCTCCCCCAGGTCGTATGTTTTAAAATACCAGGGTACTCGTTTAAGGCTGAGTCGATCTTGGGGATGCCCAGGGCAGGTTCAGATGCCATGTACCCCTGCTGATATCCAGGGAGAGAAATCGGACCCTGGTTTGTGATATAGCAGTTCATACGTGTATAGTGACTAACTCAGAGACACTAAGAGTAGGAGGCACGCTGTTTATTAACACGGCCTTAACAGTTCACACTTGGTAACTACGGCTCACAGTCAGGACAGCTGGCAGACTGCCTCTGACTGGCGACGCCGAGATGGTGAAGACAGAGATGATGGCGAAGATTCCAGCAGCAGTACGGAGACCCCACTCCACACGACAGCCCCGAGCTCCCCTCCCGGGATCCCTCTTATACTGTCACGTGGCCTGGCTCCGCCCCGGCCACGCCCCCTTCTGGAACCTACTAGCGGGTTCTCGGTGTGCCCCTTCCGTGACCTTTCCCCGACATCCCTCTCTGGTCTATCACGTGACCTGCTGTCAGTCAGGGCTGCTGTGAGCTGCAGATCCCCTTCCCTGCCAGCAACCAGCGCTATGCTGCTACGTGAACGATTATATGTCACTACACGTGCACACAGTCGAGTGTAGTTGTTGCTCAGACTTCTACCTAGTAGTTAACAATTAGGAGCTGACCGTGTTTACTGGCGTCACAGTCAAAATCTGTCAAATGTTGAAAATTCCTCACAAATTCCTTAATCGGGTAAACCCCACAATGCAACACCGCCCCCTACTGGAAGACTAAACCCACACAGCAAATAACAAATGTACACAATGTTCTCATTGATCATTAATTCAGCGTATTTTTTTTCCGGTGTCCCTAGACGTTTATGGTTTGCGTTTGGGAAAATGTTGAGGTGAGAAATTTCGAGTGGTTTGTACATAACAACAGTGGTTTCAGCGGGTTTGTTCGGGTTTTTTTTTACCCGCCTGGGAAAAAATTGTCAACAATCCTTTGCTAAAGTTCTTATTATATCTTACAATGTATCATCAACCATGATCAATCCACTGCTGGATGAAGGCCTCCCCACAAGTGGCGAGATGTTAACTACCTCGCCTGGTATACAGAAGGTCATGGGTTCGAGTTTGCACATTTTCCCCATTGTCGGTTTTTTTCCTCCACATTTAGAATCAACGTGAGTTTAGAGGCGTATTCTTCACTCATTTTCAGTGTGAGGGCCGCCCACACCGCCTGCAAGGGGTCTTCTCACACGTGGTGTGTATTGTGGGGGGCCGCATGTCAGGCGACCAGTGGCTGCCAGTGGCCCGCGGGACTTGCAATGAAGAACACCGTTTTTGAGTTTTGGCTTCTATAAATTTACACGTGATCAGCCACTCCTTTGCGATCCCTAAACAAAGATCCCCCGTATAGCCTCAACAGACTGTCGGGGCAAGTGCAGTTAGCGAGCACCTATGAAGGCCGGAACGGTACACGAGGGGGTGGGTGGCCAGCTCCACGCCCGACCGCCTTTGTCTCCCCAGTGGCGATATTTACACACCGCACCAGGTACTCATTTGAGGCTGAGTCGACCTAAGTACCCTCTATCACGGCCACTCATTCCTCAATCCTTGCAAACCCCTTTATTTTAAACACCGTTATTTTTAAACTGCCAATCGCCTTCGGCGAAGACGCTCTTTAACATCTTTAAAGAAAAAAAGTAGATATTTGCGTTATAATTTTTTAAAATATGCTAATTGCAAAATGGACGGTTAACTTTCAAAAATACATCAGATATATTATTCGCGGTATGGGTGGGTGGTGTAAAGGACTCTCCAGCTATTAGAATGCAAGCTTTGCTGTACACCACGATAACACGAAGGGGGCGCTTTTGAACACTTGGGTGATCAAAAGGCTCGTGACCTGATGCAGCCGTGAGTGACCTTTGTAGAACCGTTCTTTCTTTCTCTCTGCGTGAGCAGCCCCCTGAAGGGGAATGTACTTGGACCACCGGTGTCCCAATGCTTATCATCATTGCCCAGAAGAGCTCTTAGTTTTGTTTTTAAAACAATTGCTGTCCTTACAATAATCCCTGAACTGTGAGGCACGTGATAGGCACTGGGAGGGGCGAGGTACGGTGGAGCGTTGGGGGTTTTCAGATGTTTGTTGTCTGATTTTTATTATTTCTCTTTATTTTCTCGAAAACAATTTATATTTCTGTCTCTTATATTTCTCATATCCATTCACGTTTTAGTTAACACGTGTACATGATTTCCAAAATCTGTTAACAAATTGACCATGTAAGCTCATTGCTGTGAAATTTTGTAATCCGAAAAATATAGGGCGAACCATTTATAGACACCACACATATTTTTCATACTTATTATTATCAATATTGTGAAATAAATGTTGTCTTTATATCTTCGAAATAAAAAAGTGTTTACAAAATATATAGTATGTTGAGCTTGATGGGAGACATGTAGCAGCTTTTGACATAAAAAAAATCCCTAAAACGTAATAAAAGATTTCATGCAATATTTTCGTGGAGCATCTCTGAATGGATCACCCTGTATGAATGTCCCTTCAACTGAAACATCATACCACCCTTTGTTGTGGCACCACTGATCAGATCAGACCTTGTCCGTTTCGCTCACTACTTTCTGTCTGACAATTACTGAAGAACATTTCGCACGAAAAAAGAGTGGACTTTGTAGAAATATGGAGGATTTTTTTGGGGACATTTGTGGAAGAAAAAAAAGAACTTCATAACTCATCGTATTCCTCCATTATAAATATTCAGATTTTATGCGAACTCCCTCCCACTGATCCTGGCAACACGAATGTCGATGGCTAAACGATTCAATCTCCCTTCACGCGCCAAACGTCATTGCCCCGTGAGCCCTCGGGATTTAAATGGATTACATCATCCCGGCATGCAACGCGTGCCCTTTAATGCGTGGGGCATAAACAGTGAGTACTGACTGCATGAGCACGTGGGTGCGCACACAGACACACACACTTGGAGAGTGTGTTCACTCGCATACATTCGAACACGGGACCATTGCACACACGTGTATTTGGCACGCGTGTACGTACACGTGCATGTACATGTGTACGTACATGCATGGTCATTGCACACACTGCGTGCATACGCCCATAGGCAGTACACGTCCACGCACGAAGACACACGTGTACCTATAATTTAGACTGCATGTGCATACACATGCGTATAGGACACGTTATCAACAACGAGTGACGGTGACGTCACGGCGCCTGTGCCAGGCTAAGTGCACGCTCAGGACGCGTGAAGTGGCAATGGCTCGTTGCTGGCAGGTCACGGAACAGACTCCTCCTGCCACAGAGGTCGATCTTGACGCCGCTGGTGCCGGTCATCGACAAGTCCACTCAGCTCCACATCCTCCTGTAACCACATCAGCTCCATCTCTTCTCTAGCCCGTGCTCGTCGAGCCCCCCCCCCCCCTCTATCCGGCAACACAGAAGCTGCTTGGACAGCGTGCGGTGGCTGAGCATGCGGGCTACGCGACCCGGCCAACGCAGCCCTCGCCTGCCGGAGGCGCTCACTGATGGGAATATGTCCAGATCTTTCAAGGATCTGTGAGCACACGCGTGCTCACGTTTACTCACATGCACACGCGTGTGTGTGTACACACTTGCACACGTGTGTACACACTTGCACACAGTCACATGCACACACATGCACACGTGTACACATAGACATGCACACGCGTGTGTGTGTACACACTTGCACACGTGTGTACACACTTGCACACAGTCACATGCACACACTCACATGCACACGTGTACACAGACATGCACACGCGTACACACGCGTGTGTGTGTACACACTCACACACACACGCGTGTGTGTGTACACACTTGCACACGTGTGTACACACTTGCACACACTCACATGCACACGCGTGTACGTACACACTTGCACACACTCACATGTACACGTAGACACACACGTACACACGTGTGTGTGTGTGCATGGACAAGAGGCATTGCGTAATGATGGAGAGGAATCGATTCTAGTTTCGTTTGCTTTCGTTTCCGTAGTTTCCGTCTTTCACCCTTGATTTAATGTTTAAAGGCAATATCGGACATGGATGCACACTGCATGGCTGGAGCGTCATTAAACGGATTAATAAACACACGCACGTGTATTGTGGGTACAGCCGCTAAGTGCAATACATTGCTATTGTAGATTCGTACGTATGATGGTCATATCGATTCTCTGTGGCGCAGCTTTAACGGAATCGATTTGCGAGCTGCCACCGTGCAGAACTCACCCGCGCGCTGTGCTGCCGGGGGGGGGATATCGATTCCGTCGATTATATACAACCCGATTCCTACAATTCTACTTTGCTCTCTTCGCACCGTGGAATCGAATATGAAATAATCGATTACATTCCGAGACAATCGATTCCATTTGTAACCCCCTCCTTGCCCCCCGCAAATGAACAGTCGAGCCTGGGGGGAGGGGGGGGGAGGAATCGATCGCAGGAATCGAAAGTGTGATTATTGTGTGAGTGTAATAATTAAATAATGAATGAGATGATTGTTTATTTATTTCTTCCTCCCCACTCCCTCCTCCCTCCATCCCTCCTCCCTCCGCTCTCCCAATCGCCGCGATTCGCGAGCGAGATCGCAGCTCGAGGCAGGAGGAGGATGAAGAGGAGGAGGAGATGATGATGGTGATGACGGAGATGATGGTGATGGAGGTGGTGGTGGTGGTGCCGGGTTGAGAAGAACACAGCAAGAGGTGAATGAGGAATCCGCACCACGCTTTGTCTTCCCCCCCCCCTCTCTCTCTGTGTGTATTTGCACGTGTACAGACGAACTGTGCACATGCGCATCTGTGTGACTGTGCATGTGTTCGCTTGGGTATGTCCCATGTGCTTGGTAGATGTACATGGGTAGAGATGTATGCGCATGCCCGCGTAGATGTACGTGTGTACACATGTGTGTACACGTGTGTGCACGTACATGTGTGTATGCACGTGTGTAACGGTACAGATGTGTGTATATTGTATCTGTATACTGTATGCACATGTGTGTAGATGTTTGTATATGTGTGTAGATGTATGCACACGTGTATAGATGTAATGTATATGTGTGTAGATGTGTGTGCGTGTGTATTAACACATTACTCTGCAGTATAAATGTAATGTGGGTGTACATTCGTGGGGAGCGGTGGTGCAGTGGTTGGCGCACTGCGCTTCGAATCCAGATCTTCCCGGCTAACGTCAGTGGCGAAATCTTGAACCGGCCCCCCCGGGGACCTCCTCCACTCTAGGTCTACTCGGCCTTAAATGAAGAGTGAGCGCCAGCACTGGCGAGACAAAGGCGGCTGGGCCTGGTGCTGCCCGGACCACGTGACGGCCTTAATAGGTGCTCGCTGACAGCAGTTGCCCCCAATAGCCCGAGTAGGCTACACAGGGGACCTTTGTCTTTGTGTGTACGCGTGTGTGTGTATGCGTGTGTATAGACGATTGTGTTACTATACGCGGGGTATATTATGCGTACGGTGCGAAAGAAGTTCAACATACAGGACATATATTTGTGTAAAATTGTACATGTATGTATATGTACGTGTAAATGTTGTGCATGTAGGCATGTGTGTATGTATATTAGGTTTGAGGGGTATGCGTGTGTGTGTCCTGTGTGTCCTGTGTGTGTGTGTCCTGTGTGTGTGTGTCCTGAATGTGTATGTGTGTGTCCTGAATGTGTGTGTGTGTGTGTCCTGAATGTGTGTGTGTGTGTGTCCTGAATGTGTGTGTGTGTGTGTCCTGAATGTGTGTGTGTGTGTCCTGAATGTGTGTGTGTGTGTCCTGAATGTGTGTGTGTGTCCTGAATGTGTGTGTGTCCTGAATGTGTGTGTCCTGAAATGTGTGTGTGTGTGTCCTGAATGTGTGTGTGTGTCCTGAATGTGTGTGTGTGTGTCCTGAATGTGTGTGTGTGTGTGTCCTGAATGTGTGTGTGTCCTGAATGTGTGTGTGTGTCCTGAATGTGTGTGTGTGTGTGTGTCCTGAATGTGTGTGTGTGTGTGTCCTGAATGTGTGTGTGTCCTGAATGTGTGTGTGTGTGTGTGTCCTGAATGTGTGTGTGTCCTGAATGTGTTTGTGTCCTGAATGTGGGGAGCGGTGGGTGTAGTGGTTAGCGCGCTGCGCTACGAACCCGGTAACCCTCGTTCGATTCCCGCTCACTACCAAACCACCAGTGACAATTTTCTGAATGGGTCCTGGACCTCCCCTAGTCGACTCAGCCTCAAATTAGTATCTGGTGCGGTGTGTAGTAAGCATCCCCACTGGGGAGACAAAGGCGGCCGGGCGTGGTGCTGGCCACCCACCCCCTTCTGTGCCGTGCCGGCCTTCATCGGCGCTACTCGCTAACATCACTTGCCCCAACAGTCTGTTAAGGCTACCGGGGGAGATCTGTCTTTGTCATGGTGATGTTTGCATCACGTGTGTGTGTTGGTGTTTTAAGGCGACGTATTTCCGACGTTCAGATGAAATCGCTCCCCCGTCATACAAGAAATTTTACATCCAAATTCGCACCCTATGCACGAAATTTGCGATCGTTCCGAATTTGTTGGGAGTTTCATTTCGGATTGTTCCAAAAATATGACGTCAGACGGAATGCAGCCGGCACCTCCTTCGCCTGCAACGCAAGGAGTTGACATGGGTTCGATCCCGGACCCTGACGATGCCCGTTGTTGTTGTTGGATATTTGAAGTCCGCGTGATCTCTTTCTCTCTCTCACGTGGAGGTCGCGTGGAATTTCAGCCGGGTTCCTCGCTGCTTGGCGACCCCCCCGCATTATTCCGAATCGACACCGCGTGTCGATTATTTGGCTGCTCCTAGAAATTCACACGTGGTGACGAGGACGACAAAAGCCACTTCGATGATCTATCACGTGGAGGCCAGGTAGCTTCCTGAAGACAAAAAAGCTAATAGCTCGGTGGGCTTTGCCTGCTATGCTCGCCTTGTGTTCGTCTTTGTGCTGTTTGTACCGTGTTGATGCACAGCCTTTGCCATTCGGAATTTAACCATGTAAAGTTATTTATTGGATTGTTCACGGTTTTCTTTATTTGTGGCTGTGACCAGGTTTTTAGTAACCAGGTCCGATACCTGTCAACTCGTACGGCTTACCCCGTATTCTTGTACAGGGAAATTTAGTGTTTAGGTCCTTACGGTGTACAGCCGTTTCAATACGGGGCAAATTAAATTGATTGTTTGTCTTTCTCTCTTGTGATGGGACTTTACAGGATGAACGTTGAGATTTATAAGGGCACGGAGTGACCGATAAGTGTCTGAATTGGTCTATAATAAGGTAGACACTGATAAGGGGTTGACAAATATGTAGTGTAGTGTATAGTGTAGTGTATAGGATGAACGTTGATATTTATAAGGGCACCACGGGGTGACCAATAACGTTTGAATTGGTCTGTAATAAGGTATAGAACTGATAAAAGGTTGATAGGTATGAGGTCCCCCATGAAAAATGGGCTTTGATTGCCCAATGGGGGTTTACCCGTGCCAAAATAAAACGTACAGCTAATAAACTTACCATATCTTAGTAAAAAAAAATTGTACGTGATTTGTATCATACCCGGCCCAATCGTGGTGTGTCACGTGGCGTCGCAGGTGACGTCACTTCTGTAAGCACAGAGCCCCGCTTAAATTATTGCAGAAAAAATTTAGGAACAAAAATGTGTCCTCGTAAATCCAAAATCCTCAAAGTTAACATTCCGAAACTCTTCACGAATGTGTTGCAAGTAGCCATATATGAATGGGATAATCGATGTCCTTACCTTTTGCCTGCATTTCGTTAGTAAGGTACGCATCAATCATATGGGTGTTCCACGCAGCATGTACATAATGTGCTACACAATGTGTCCCCCGTGAAGTAAACGGGTGTTGCGTGGTTTATTCACAATGCACTCCCTACACAAGGTGGTTGTGCTGGTTACGACGATGCATATAGTAACGATGGCGGTTATGATGGTCACGGTGACAAGTGTTGATATCGTTGTGATGATTATGGTCATTAATATTTGAAGATGATGATGACTGTGAAGATGTCGTACTTGAAAATTTGGTGGCACTGATGACGAGGGTTATGATAATGGTGATAATAGAGCGATGATGAGATCTTGTTAACACCACAGGTATCATGGGAGAGAGCGGTGGCTTGGGGAAGATATTATCGAGCAGTGGATTGACCATGGCTGATGATGATTATTATAATAAAGACAACAATGATATAGTTTTGCAGGACAATTAAGATGATAATGTGGTTAATTCTCTGATGGTGGTGATGATGACCTTGATGGTGATCTAGTTTCAAAGGTTAGAGTGGGCATGATGATGATAGACCTATGATTAAAAAGATGGTTTTATTATCATTAAAATATTTCACCTTCTGTAGCATTCGAGATGATGGAACATCTCATTGACACAATGCAAAGCAGACGCACATCATGACATGGACTGGAAATAAACATTTGAAATCTACAACTTGTACAGTACGCATTTGTACGACGAATATCACACAACGGGAAAAATGCATAAATAATGCACAAATACGCACTGTGATTAAATGCTATTGACTAACGCGAATTTTTTGCTGTAATTAGATGTTGCACACTGCTGGATCATGTCGAATGTATCCCAGCCGTAACAGTTGCAGACATTGTGTCCAAGTGTGCGTTTCACTTGTATGCATGTCGAACATCTTTCACGCCATATGTTGCCAACCCCGCTCATCGGAGGTTAGCACGGTCGGCTACGTAATTGAGCTGAGACTGGTGGCGCATTTAACTCTGTCCGGGCGATTGTTCCAATGCCCAGCTCTCTTGCAACGCGCACAGCGCTGCGTTGTGTGCGTGGTGTGTGTTGTCTCTATTGTAGTAACACGTGACTGTGTCTGTGTCGTGTGTGCGCTGACCCAGTCCTCCGCTGCAGTGGCTCCCGTGATGAGCGGAATGGGAGGCCGTCTGCTCGACTACCTCGTGGTGTGCGGCCTCGACACCAACACGGGGCTGGAGCCGGACGACCTCTCCGGTATGAGACGCTGCCGTCAGGGTCGCGGTGCCGCTGGCGCTGATGGTGGTGGTGATTCGGTGATGACATCACCTTCACTCTTTTTCGATTTAAAGCTTTCGTGACTGCAGGGATTCATCATCTTGGTTCTTTCGGTAAAGTCACGTAGAAGGGAAATAATAAAATAATAATAAAATTTACGTAATAAAATAATATAATATTTTTTAAATAATATACTACTTTTATTATGTTTTCTTTTTATTATTTTATTATTTCCCTTCTACGTGACTTTACCGAAAGAACCAAGAACACCTTCACTTTGTTTAAGACTGAAACAGGAAGACTTCTTCACAGTCCTGGCAAATCGCCTGATGAAGCTGGTTGTTGTAATCACCGGCGAAACGTCACAGTTGGCACGTCTTGTTTACGTGAACAAACCTTACTAGTTGGCTGTGTCAGGCGGTGGCGGGTTAACGACACATTTATATTTACACGATCTAACCCAAAAAAACCTTTATTATGGAGTTGGTGATGATAGAGGTGACGATGCTGGTTATTGGGTGGTGGAGTGGTGGCGCAGTGGTTTGCACACTGCGCTATGAACCCGGCAACACGACTTCGACTTTCGCTCACGACCGTTAACAGTGGCGAATATTTGGACCGGTGCTGAGCCTCACCTTGGCCGACGCAGCCTTGAATGACTACCTGGTGTGGCATGTAATCATGAGTGGGCCTTACCTGGTGAAATAAAAAAAAATATCTGGAGACTCTGCCTCGGATCAAAGCCACGTATCTACAACATCCTGCCGTGTGCACTCTATAGCCCAGTGACCTGGACACTGCTTGTGTCCGACATCAAGCGTCTGAAGGCTTTCCATATGCGCTGCCAACTGCGCAGCCTTGGGATCAGGTGGTGTGGCTCGATCACAAATGTCACCGTGACATCCCGCGCTGATCTCCCCAACATCTCCGTGTTGGTACTCTGACCACGCCGCGATATCGCGGGTCGTCATCTCGCTCGATGATGCTGACAGTTCCTATCCAGGCGGCCTGGCTAGGGGCAATGGATCATCACACCTGGGGGAACATTCAAAAGGGCCCATTGATTGTTAAGCGAGTATTACTTAAACTACTACTATGGTTATCTGTATAGGCTATGGAGGTTTTATGCCAGCGCACGCCTGTTTAATTCTTTGTGGTAAATAGGTCGTCACGGACAATGTATGTATGTTTAACTTTTTTTGCACTAGAGGTACGAGGGAAGGACAACAAACTAAACACAAAAAACTGTTCTAAATTCGTTTTCAAACTAGATTTGAAAGTGCATAGCTCCAGTGGCTTCCTAATATTGGAACGAAGAGCGTTCCAGACGGCCAGAATGTCAGCAATGATGCCACCGCGCCTCACCGTCACTCGCTTCCTTCTGCCACATCCCGCAACCGTCGCACGGTCGACACGTGACCTCCAGGGTCCCCTCTGCCAGTATCCCACCATCTGGCATGAAGCCTTTGACCCCCGCACACCCATCCCACCCACCGTAACCCCCTCCCCCCGCGTCTACAATGCCTCCCCGCCGCATCCGACTCGGCATCATTCACGAGTTGCTTTGTTCTGTCCTGCCACCACATTCCCAGCATCCTCCATATTCACGGTTGGCTACGTACGGTGCGAAAGAAGTTCAACATGCGTACATTCACCGGTGCCTGTAGGCTGGAGACGTTGTTTCTCGTTGCTTTGTCAGAGTCAATTGTTATGACCCATACAGTGGAACATTCACGTTTCCTGCCTCGCACACCCAATCTCTTCCCACCCCAAGTCGATCTCGGTTCTTTTTATAGAGTGGTTTGTATGGCCATTCAATGGACAGAATTATACTGGCAACTAATACGCACGTATGTATGTTGAACTTCCTTCGCACCGTACGTAGCCAGCCGTGCTAATCGGAGGTGCGGAGAAGGAGAACAATATGCGGGACAAGTGAGTGTTTTAACACGGCACAGAAGGCCGAGGAAATAATTCTGCGCAATGCATATCTGCGAATGGTTTAACCTCATCTGATTTGAAATGCGAGGCTATCGACACTGTGCATTCGGCCGTGCAACGGTCAGGAGTGTGGCTTTTTTAGTTGAGTCACTGCGCAAGGTACATGGGCATGCAGAGCCCTGAAATTTACATTAAGTTTCGATAACAGATGCCGCATTGCGGTTTTGATCGCTAAAAATATGCCATTGGCAATAATAAATTACTACAACAACAAAAAAATTACAGTTGCATCAATAATACAGGAACTATAATACCCCTAAACAAAAACCAACACTTGGTCAACAACACTTTGGTCTTAAAAGAAAAATATATAATAGGCGACGTTTGGGGCATTGGCCATTCTTCGCAGTACAGTCAGTCCTCGTTTAACGCCGTCGATGCTTTAAATGAAAAAACGCGTCAAGCGAAAGCATTTTCGACGTAAACAATGTCACGATAAAGTTTTGACGAGATACAATGTACGCACACCACACAGTGAGATCGCGGGACAAATAACTGAGGGTACGCCGCCTCGTTACCGTATCACTCCGCGTGCCGTATCACTGCACCGCTCAGCTGTGCAGCTCAAGTAGTTCGTCGTCGACCGCTCAGAAACTGCGTTATTGTAACAGCGCGCCTTCCGCGCTAAAAGGGTGCGCGTTCCGCGTTGTGCAAAGAAAGTGTTTGCTCATGGAAGGAACAGCCTTAAACACACGTTAAGCGAGGACTTGCCCTACATAGATTCGTAGCACGCAGATCACCCATGTGCTTTATGTATGTACATTGAACCTCTTTTTCACCGTACGTAGCCACGAAGAAGGGCTATTGCCAGAAATGTCACGTGTTATGTATTTTTCATTTAAGCCCACGCACAAGGGGTTATTGACGAACGCGTAGATTTTTTTTGCGTTAGCTGTGCTTGTGCACCACTGTGAACGCAGCAACGGCAGCATCATCAATATCATCAAATAATTTGTGTTAAGAGAAGCCAAAGGTGGCAGTTGCGTCCTAAAATGAGTTGCGTTCAGCTTGACTGGCCTGTCCTCAGCCAGTGGAATCAATTCCACGCACGACAGGGGCCGGTCTATCCACAGGATGACCACTGTGGCCGCTTGAACCCTCGGCTGGTGTTTCGTTGTTAGACTGGTGGCTTGGGCACGACGTTCGAGACATCGAACAAAGACGGTCACCGCATCGCGTGACTTCGGGGGCGCTTCTGCGTACCGCCTGGAATGCTCTTCCTTCCGATGTTAGGAAGCCGCTGGAGTTGTGCGTTTTTAAATAATCTAGATTGGAAACTCATTTATTCGGAACTGCTTTTTGTGTTTAGTTTGTTGTCCTTCCCCTGCACCTCCAAACAGGAGCTACTTACAGTTTGAAAGAAGTTCAGCATACATACAAACATTCACAGCTGGATTCACTGTATACATCATAAAATCATGGTCTGGACTATCAACAGATGACCACCTGGCTTCGTAAATTCATAATGGCCATGTCACCGCGAAGCTGCTAAGAATTCTGAATTGATTTCAGACGGTTATCTGCGATTGAACGAGACTTTAATGCCCAGCAAGACCACACACGACGAACAGCCTCAGCACGTCGCTTGTTTCAGGCTACGCCACCATTTCAGGAATGAAAGCTTCTCCTAGAAATTGGCAGATGATTGGCGCGCGGTGAATTACTCCACACGGAGCCTGAAAGAGCAGCGTTCACGTTGATTAAAGGAGCTATGTTGAAGGGCTGCCAGGCTTAGTTCAGTTGTGTCATATGTTTACTTGGAAACTGTAACTCACACCAGCTCGGTTTGTAAAAATGAGAGAGTGCTCTCGTCAAAATATCGTCCTTGGTTGGCACTGGCTTTAACAGAGCGCTTAACTCTGACATCAGAAGATTGCTCTGTTCAAATTAGCCCATCACCCTCCAGGGCGTGGCAGGGGGGGGTATATAAAATTAGTACCGCTTTGTGTGAGGTCGACATTGTCGAATTGAGAGGCATTTCCAGCACTGATTCATGGAGGAGTGACAACGCGTGGGTACTATCAAACAAACACTTTATTTCGGTACGAAAAGAATCGTCGTCAAGAATACACGACGCAGAAACAAACTGCAGGGGCTGAGAAATCTCACTTGGCGGAGTCGGTGCCAGCTTGGGTTTTTGTTGTGCAACAAGTTACACTTTGACTGCCCTCATCAGCACACTTCCAGTTGCCGAGCGAATACATTATGAGGTCGCGCTCATTAGACACTTAAGTGTTGGCCATAAATGAACCACAATACCTTGCTGATCTCGTCAAGGAACCTAAACCATCACACGGCACTCCGGTCCTCCTCACAGCAGCGGCTTTTGGCTCGTCATCGAACAAAGACGGACGGTCACCGCATCGCGCGCTTTCAGATGTGCTTCTGCGGCCGTCTGGAAAGCTCTTGCTGCTGGTATTAGGAAGGTACTGGAGCTAAGCACCTTTAAATGTAGATTGGAAACTAATTTCTTAAATGATTTTTGTCTTTAGTTTGTTGTCCTTCCCCCGCACCTCCGATTAACACGCTTGGCTACATACGGTGCAAAAGAAGTTCAACGTACATACTGCACCGACACGCGTCACCAAAACCCAAGGCTGTGTACGCTCTCTCTTCATCGAATTGGTTGTGAGCGTGTGTTTTTGTTTGTTAAATTCAATCGTTATATTGCACGTAGGCTCTCGCGATGAATATTCATGATTACATTTTTTTTTCAGGGAGTGGATCGTGCCGGTATGACGTCAGTTTTGTAACTGTAGACCTCCACCACCCAACAGGGCCAATGAAATCACTTTTTGCACGTGGATAAATATGCTAAATTTATTTGGTTTTCCATCATTCCAGAGGAATGATGGTAAAGCAAGCTTAATTTTCAGTTTAACACGCAGGCTTTCATGACCGATATTTTACATGAGAAAGGTTTTTTGAGTTCGATCGCGTAAATATAAATGAAATTGTAAATGTAAGTTACATTTACT